CAGTAAGGCGCAAAAGAGGGTGTACAAGTTTTCTTGGAGGGGGGGAGAAAGTGCGCTGCACTGTTTCTTTCCTATGCTTTTTCTCGGCACTTGGACTGATGCAGCAGCACGACGGACGATCACGATTGCATCATCGAAATCGATGGTCTCTGCTCAATCGCGTTTGAATTCGCGTCAGCTGGTTCCCTCCCTTTTTGCATGCACGTCGACCGTCAGATCTACAGCCGGAGCTTCCACGGCCCATATTCCAACCTTCAAATTCATTTGGGCCAGTTCATCTGCAGCCGTCAGAAACTCCAACCATTTCATTCAAATTTGCCAAGCCATTTCGAATTCAGCTGAAAAGGAAATCGATGGCATCCTTGCTGGTGTGGGATTCTTTTTTGTACAAGACTGCCTTAATTGGAAGGTGGGAGAGTGTAAAGAATTGTAATTCCTTACTGTACTCGCACTTTAGCGAGTACATCCCGAGGGTCACGCGACGAACCTGTTCGGCCTATTTCGTCGGCCAAACCACCCCCGAGTCGCCTCTGCACCAATCGCAACCACCACCGATCCATCTTCGCCCGACCTCCCCGCCTAGCTAGCCTTTCCCCTATTTAGGTCTTGTCACTTTTCTTGTATCATCATTCTGTAATCTTCATTCTCGATATTCGTTATTCTACGCACTCAGCAAGTTCATTCATAACATTCACCTTCCACATCCAACCACAATACCAGTAACCATCCAGAGTCAAGTGGTAAACCTTTGCCTTTGTTACAATCTGAAATGATTTTATAGGATCGTCTCAGGTTGATCGCACGTAATGTAGCAGCGAAAGGTTTGCTAGTAATGTCGGGAATGGACTCTGTCAGAAGAAGGAGATTTGAATCTCGACAGAAGTGTCTACTGCAATGCGGTACAAGGGTTAATATAGGAATACAGTGGAATACAAAAGGTCCTAGCTCGCCATATATTATGAGCGGGTACATTCCCCTTAAGGCTAATCTAGATTAGGAAAACGAACCGTGCGCTTCGGCAACGGTATGCGCCACGACAACTGTTCGAAAGTTTTCCCGCGCTTTGCACTTTAAGTTCTTCCTGCTTTTAACCGTCTTTGATAACCGCTTGTGTCGCTCGGTCTTCGTCCTCGCTGCAGTCATCTTCGCGTTAAGTGTGCGTTACTCTTGGAATTTTATTCAACAGTTCCATATCGTAACACTCCCCTTCATTCCTGGAGAAGTGAACTCTTGACGTGCTTGGTTATACCGCAGATGTTCGCACAGTGCTGGTACTGCTGATGTGGCAATTTCTTGGTGAGGAAGTCAGCTGCCATGTCACCAGTGGGGCAGTAAGTCAAGATGACTTTGCCTTTGTCAACTTCGCCATTGACAAAGAAGTAGCGAAGCGCGATGTGCTTGGTGCGGTTGACGAAGCCGGGTTTGTTCGCGATTTTGATCGCGCTCTGGTTGTCGCAGTGAAGTTTGAAGCTCGCAGATATCGCAATTTTTTCCTCCTGGAGCAGCTCCTGGAGGTAGAGTCCTTCGCGAACGGCTGACGTGGCGGCGATGAACTCAGCTTCAGCGGAGGAGAGCGCCACCATCTCTTGCTTCTGGGAGTTCCAGGAAGTTGGTCCTGTGGGCTCGAGGCGGAAGAGAAAACCGGTTCGGGGCCGTTGATTTGCAGGGTCGACGGCATGATCTGCATCCACGTAGCCAGCAAGGCTGAACGAGCGGGCTGTGAGGGTGGAGTAGGTGAGTCCAATGTGCGGTGTGGAGATGAAGTACTGCAGAGCGCGCTGCAGGTCCAACATATGCTCCCCTTCACGCTGCTTGGCGTACTGAGCGAGCTGGCTCGAGATGTAGGACAAGTCAGGCCTGCACGTGACTGCTGCGAAGAGGAGGCAGCCAAGTTGTTGCTGGTACAGGTGATGTCCAGTTGGGTTGTTGAGAGGGGTGGTGTTGGGATTGTTGGGGTCGGCCTTGGTGCGGTAAGGGGTTGAGCCGGCTTGATGTTGAATTTTGCAGAGCGCGTTTTAGCGTACGTAGCAGCAGAGAGATGGATGGCGTCAGCGGCGTAGGAGATGTTAAGGCCAAGGAAATGAGTGACATGGTCGGTCCTGGTGATCTCGACGCGGCTGCTGAGGTTTTTCTCGAATTGTGCGAGGAGGTCGTTGCTGGTTCAAGTGTAGAGTAGGTCGTCCACATACGCTGTGAGAAAAACGTAATTGCCGCGTTAGTGAAGGCGATACATGCCCGGGACGTGAGGGAGCTGAATGGAGGTGATGTCCAGGAGAAATTGGTGGAGATGCTGCTGCCAGAGACGGGGCGCCTACTTGATGCAGTAGAGCGATTTCTTGAGCTGACAGATGCGGTCGTCGCTATCGCCATAGGTGTGCGGTTGTTCGACGAAGATGAGCGCATCAACTGGCGCGTAGAGAAAAGTTTTCTTAACGTCGATCTAGCGGAGCGGGAGATGCTTTGCAGCGGCGATGGCGAGGAGGATGCAGACGGAGGTGTGGCGGCTTACTGGGGCGAAGGTTTGATCAAAGTCAACGCCGTGGCATTGATCGAAGCCACGCACATCCTAGCAGGCTTTGAAGTGTTCAATGGTTCCGTCGCCGGTGGTTTTGATGCGGAAGACCCATTTGCCTGAGAGGACACGTCTCCCCTTCAGCGTGGCGCGGTCAGCGAGAACCTATGCCTCGCGAGCTTCGAGTACAGCGACTTCGGCGTCCATAGCCGCGCACCTTTATTTGCTGTAGGGGCCGGTGAGAGCCTGGCAAGGGGTTTTGGGTTCAACCGCCTTTGGAGGGTGGGAGACAACTGTGTGAAGGCCAAGGATTTGGTGACCGGAGAGGTCGCGGCTGTGCTGCTGCTCGCTGGTAACTTCCACCACGTCGTTGTTTGAGTCGTAAGCGGAAGAGGGGGTGGGGCAGAGGAGGGAATCACGCGAGGAGTCAAGTGGGGCGCTGTCCTCGTTGTCATCCTCGTCGCTCCATAGGCACGGGCCGGGATGAGGTTCTGTGGGATCTTGATCCGCGAGCGCCACTTCAGCTTCGTCGGCGGGAGTGGTGAAGCTGCAGGGCGGGCGTTCGTAACGTGCAATGTTGTTTTCTTCCCTGGTGCAGTCAGCATGGGGATCGCACTGAAACTTGCGGATGGTTAGGTCTTCGAAGAAGATGACGTCGCGCATCGCGACCACGCGAGATGTATCATGGTCGAGGATGTTCCAAGCGTGATGCTCGAAACTGATGCCGAGGTGCACTCCCCAGTGTGCGCGTCGTTCGAACTTTCCCGTGTTTGCCGTTGCGGGCCGATACTGCACCATGCAGCCCGAGACGCGGAGCATGGAGATGTCCCTTTTGTCGCCGGTGAATTTGATGTGTGGTGACAGGTTGTCAATGTTGGCGTAGTGCCTGGATGTATGCCGTGAGCTTGTCACTCTTGAATTCAGGTTCACAGTCAGCTTGCCATAGCTTGAGTTTGCAGCCAGATTGGGTTTCAACGTTGTTGTGCCAAACCCTGAAGATGTCATACGCCTTGATCCTGTTAGAGATATTGGCCAGTCAAAGCGAGAGTATGCGTCGACGAAGGAAAGAGTATACTCCTCGTCGTTGATGCCTGTCCATGTGAGGACAAGAAAATCACTGTAGACTTTCTGGAGCTTGGCATAGCGGTTCGTGCTTGGCTCGAGAAGCTTGAAAGGCTTGTGGGTCGGTGCAGCTTCAGAGCAGATTGTGCAGTCGGTATGGCGATTGGTGTCAACAGGAAGGAGACCGTAGACTGGCCGCCGGAGGCTCCACTGGGTACCCTCAGGAAGCGACGCAGTGAAGCCAGGTGGGCAGCACAGCCAGATCTCCTCGTGTAGGCTGCCCTGCAAGAAAGTTGTGCTAAAGTAAAGCGAGTGGAGCTCATAGTCACACTGTGCTGCAATTTGCAGTAACACCCGAAGAGTGGTCATCTTCGGGGTGGGGGAGAAGATCTGGAAGAAGTCGACCCCTTGTCGCTGACTGAAGCCTCGTGCAACGTAACGCGCCTTGAAGACAGGCGGAGAACCCGGCGGCCGCTTTACCCTGAAAATCCACATGCCATCGACTATGTTCGCCCCAGGTGGGGGAACTGCGTCGACGTAAGTGCCTGTGGACTTTCAGGATGCCATCTCTGCGTCCATGGCTGTCTGCCAGTGAGAGGAGTACTGACCCGTGATTGCCTCTGCATAAGAGCGCGGGGTCGGGATGTCTAGTGCATCCGGGTCTCCCTCAAAGGCAAGTAGCATGGCAGCGAGATGAGGTACAACAGTCGCAAGACAATCGAGCTCAAACTGCATGTTTTCAAGGACGTCCGTGCCAAGTTAACTTTCACCCCTGACGAACGGAGGATATTCAGACTCAGACTCAGTGAGAAAACTCGCAAATTAGTCAAGACGACACGGAGCAGCAAAGTCAAAAGTAGGGTTAGTGACAAGTGTAGGTAGAACACGCATGACAGTAGGACTACCAGCACGAGCAAGGTCAGACTCAGGGTCAGGAACGTCAGGAAGGGAGGACTCGGGAGGAGACGGTATAGAAACATGCTGCGGAACAGAGGAAGGAAGAAGTGTCATAATGTGAGTGCCGGGGACTGGTGGAAGACGAGGACAAGGAATACGACGAGCACGACGAACAGTGTGAACAGGCGAGGCAGGACAAGACGCAGGCTCACGACGCTCTGTCAGGGAGTCTGGCTGCTCAGTGTAAGGAGAAGGAGCAAGCAGTGGGGAGTCCGGCGGTAACTGTGTTTGAGATGGGTCAGGTGGTGGACATAGTAAGGGAGGAGTAAGGCCAGTGGAAGATGGAAAAGAACCTGGCGAAGCGCCGAGCCAGGTGGTGGTAGTGATGACTGCGGCTGCGGCAAGAAAAACGGTCGCCGCTGTGTAGTACCCACAGTACTAGAGCCTCGAGCTCTAGTATCTCAAGCACCAGCACCTCCAGCACATCCAGCTCCAGTACCTCCAGTACCTCCAGCACCTCCAGCAGTACCTATAGCTCCAGTGCCTCTAGTACCTCCAGCACCAGCACCTCCAGCTCCAGTACCTCCAGCACCAGGACCTCTAGGCCCAGCGCCTCCAACACCTCCAGTACCTCCAGCTCCGGTGCCTCCAGCACGAGTACCTCCAGGTCCAGCGCCTCCAATACTAGCACCGCCAGCACTAGGACCTCCAGCTCCAGCGCCTCCAGCACCAGCACACTAGCTCCAGGACCTATAGCTCCAGCGCCTCTAGCACCTCCAGCACCTCTAGCACCTCCAGCGCCAGTACCTCCAAGCTCAGCGCCTCCAGCACCTCCAGCACCTCCAGCTCTGCGACTACTGTGAAACCGCCGAGTAACCCACTCGCGAAGCTACTATGGGGAGAGAGACACCTTCCGACGAGTATGCTGCTGCTGTCCACCCCCAAAACCTCCAGCAGGAGCACTAGCGACTCCACCACCACCAGGACGCTCAACACTCCTAGAACCAGTACCCCCCGACTCAGCACCTCCAGCGTCACCACCCCTAAAGTCCGCACCCCCAACGTCACCACCCCCAGCAGCACCAGAGTCTTCAGCAACAAGCTGCAGAGGCGGCAAAGACGGCCGAGGTGGGAAACCAGGAGGGGTCTCCAAGCGTGGTGAGCGGCGAGAGGCCGCTGTGTCGTCACCAGCAGCGTCACCCCCCTTAGCTGGGCCAGAGGTGCCAGAGGACCTCCAAAGGCGCAACCAAGGGGGGTAGGTCTACCTGAGACACACCTGAGGGAGCAGGACCTTGTGAGGGGAGGGGGTCTACCGAGGGAGGAAGAGAGACGACGAGGGGATGGGGGTAGTGCGGTGGGGGTAGAGACGGTAGAAGCAAACCAACTCGTCAAAAGTGACGTCCTGGGAGGACAGGATGCGACGCAAGGCTGGGTGGTAAAACTGCCAGCCAGGCGCGTTGGTGGGAAATCCAAGGAAGACGCAGTGAATGGTGCGAGAAGAGAGCTTGTCCGCGGTGGTATCGCGAACAAAGAGGGGCATGCGAACCCCAAACCCGAAACGCCGACACATCACCAACCTCCCCCGTCCAACGCAGTGTAGGCGAGGTCTCTAACACGGAGACACAGGGCTAGAGGTTGAGCTGATGCGCGGCGTATTGGACCACAAACGGTTACGGGAAACGAGGAGCAACCGCATGGATCATGGAGGTACGAGCAACCTCCTGTTAAGATAGTAACTAGAATTAGGCGCCATAGCTAGGAGAACCCTAGCTAGGCAAGAGAAAGTTTAGGCAAAGAGAGGGGGTTTCACTAGCAGCAATGAGGATACATATAGCAAACCCTAGATGGGTTGTACTCGCTATAGAGCACCCCACTACAGGCTAGAGAATAACATTCTGACACACCCCCATAGCCAAAGTGGGGTGTAATCAGTACAATGAGCAAGCAGGTATAGAGCAGGAGTACAAGGGCAAGCAAAGCTAGAGGCATTCACAAAGGGCAAGTGAGGAGGAGGAGGCGAGACTGTAGGAGGAGAGGAGACAAGAGGCGACGGCTGAAGCTGCAGACACACGGGCAACAGGAGTCACACTGGCACAGTGGCTACCGGAACAGCGCCCCGGACTACAGGAGTAACTGGCTCCGCGGCTAAGTGCGGCAGACGAGCAACGGACCCACGGGCGACTGGCGCAGCTGGCTACGACTGGGCTACCGGAACAGCGCCCCGGACTACAGGTGCTGCTGACGACAAGACGGCAGCCTCCGCTCAACCTCCCCCGACCGTCCCACCCCCCTCTCACACACCCCCTGCTGAAACCCTAGCTCCACTCCCACGGCACCCCCCTAGCACCACTCCTTCGGCTCCCACACACCCACCCCCCTCAGCGGCAGCTGCAGCAGCGGGAGACGGAGGAGGAGGAGGAGCAGGGGACGGAGCACACAGCCAGCACCCCCACAGGCGCCACCCCCACACTCGCCACCCCCAAACCCTAACAGAGGCAGAACGGGGGGGGGGGGGAAGGGGCGATTCGGGGGCGATTCGGGGGAGGGCGCGCGGCTCCCCAGGGCGACGCGACGGGGCAGCGGGCGGGGCGCGCGCGGCTTCCCAGGGCGCCGCGACGGGGCAGCGGGGGGTCGCGCGCGGCTCCCCAGGGCGCCGCGACGCGGCTGCGGGGTCGCGCGTGGCTCCCCAGAGCGCCGCGACGAGGCAGCGGGGCCGCGCATGGCCCCCAAGGGCGCCGCGACGAGTGGGGGGGCCGCGCACGGCTCCCCAGGGCGCCGCGACGGGGCAGCGGGGGCGACGGGGGGGTCTGCTGCAGGCGACGGGCGAGCTGCAGCAGGCGACGGGAGGGAAACGACGGGGGGAAACCGCCGCGCGCCCCGGGGCGCACGACGGGCAGGAAACCGCCGTGCGCTCCGTGCGCACGGCGAGCAGAAAACCACAGGCCACGGGGCGCGCAACACAGAGAACAGCAGCGGAAGCTGTTAGGTGGGCCCACAGGCTAGGAGCGTGACCGCTCTGATACCATGTTAAGATAGTAACTAGAATTAGGCGCCATAGCTAGGAGAACCCTAGCTAGGCAAGAGAAAGTTTAGGCAAAGAGAGGGGGTTTCACTAGCAGCAATGAGGATACATATAGCAAACCCTAGATGGGTTGTACTCGCTATAGAGCACCCCACTACAGGCTAGAGAATAACATTCTGACACCTCCATGATCAAGCCGATGTGGCGCTCAGCAACCCCATTCTGCTGCGAAGAGGCCGGAAGCGTGAACGACTGGAGGATGCCCTCCTCACGACAAAAAGCCTCAAGGAAGCGGGAGGAAAACTCACCACCTCTTTCAGAATGCAGACGAAGGACCGAGAGGTTCTGCTGGAACCGGACGCGCAGTTAGAGACGGACAGCGCGGATCTAAGGGATCAAGATATTGGGTATATCTGCCTTGCTTTGCAAAGGAAAGACCGTGGTGTAGCACATATAGTCGTCAACAACAGCAGAAACTAGCGCTCTCGGTCCGGTCCACTGATGCGGGCAGGGCCCACACGTCCATGTGGAGAGTCTGCAGAGGAGCAGTGGTCGGAGGAAACGAGGAGGAGTGAGGAGCAGCGCGCTGCCATCCCTCGACGCAGGGAAGGCACGGTGGTGCAGGCGAGCGCTGAAGCGGGGACAGGGACCTGGGGAGGCCAGAGACAAGGAGACAAGAACGCATGCTACGCAGACGCGGCAGGGAGGGGTGACCAAGACAATGGTGCCAGAGGAGAGTCTGGTGCGTGAGAACTCGACATGAGCAAGACGCAGCTATTTGACCCGACGCATCTACCTGTGCAAACTCTGTGGTCAGTGTGTACAGGCCAGATCCGGGTCTTTAAGTGAACGTGGCAAGGTGGGCGCCAGTCCGTAAGTCCGTACGGATCGCCACAAGCTCACCCCGGGGAGTAGTCATAGTGACAAACTAGTCCTGGAGGATAGCGTTACTCACCAAGTTTGTAGTGAACGAGGGGATATGGAGACCTGCAAGCGAGCTGGAAGGGGCTGCCGGACACGGGAGAACGGTGGAGGCACGTGCTACTACTGGGCCCCCATAGGGGTCAGCCAAAGTGATTGGGACAGGTGTAGTGATCGGGACTATAGTGCAGTCGCGGAAGAAGCAGCGAGATGAGCCTGAGTCAAGCGTGAAGGTGTGCAGAGCCTCCGTAGGGGCTGCACCTGTGCTAGCAGGCTTAACGACACCTAGATTAGTAGCCTCAAAACCACCAGGGACACGTCACTAAGAAACCCGCTCGTGAAGCTGCTATGGCGAGAGAGTCTCCTGTCGACGAGTCTGCCACTGATATCCAGTACCTCCAGCACCAGTACCCCGACCAAACAGACCTCGCTAAATAACCCACTCACGAAGCTGCTGTGGCGAGAGAGTCTTCGGCTGACGCTTCTGTCGCTGCTGTCCACCCCCAGTACCTCCGCCTCCACCAGCGGCACCACCTGTAGGAGCAGACGTACAGGTACCTACACGCGTGGCCATGATGGGCAGGAGCAATCAGCAGCAACGGCGCCAGGGCGGCGGTCGTAGTCGTAGCGGCAGTAGTTGTAGCGGGAGATGCTACGACAGTGGCAGCTGTTAGAGCACACGTCGGGGCTGTAGCGGTGATAGTAGGGGCTGTAGCGGCAGCAGAAGGGCTGTAGCGGCGCTAGCAAGGGCTGTAGCGGCAGTAGCAAGGGCTGTAGCGGCAGTAGCAGCGGCTGTAGTGGCGATAGCAGGGGCTGTAGCGGCAGTAGTAGGGGCTGTAGTGGCAGCAGCAGGGCTGAAACAGCAGTAGCACGGCTGTAGCGGTGATAGCAGGGGCTGAAGCACCAGTAGCAGGGGCTGTAGCGCCAGAAGCAGGGGCTGTAGTGGCGGCAGCAGGGCTGAAACGGCAGTAGCAGGGCTGTAGCAGCGGCAGCAGGGGTGTAGCGGTTTGGCAGGGCAGGGCTGGGCAGCGTGCAGGGTTGGGCTGGGCAGCGTGCAGGGCAGCGCTGGCAGCGACTAGGCAGGGCAGGGAAGCACTCGGCAGCATGCAGGGCAGTGCTGGCGGTGGCCAGGGAGATCAGGGCAGCGCTGGGCAGCGTGTGCAGGCAGGGCAGCAGTGGCAGCGGCCGGCAGCAGCAGCGGCAGTGGCCGGCAGCAGCAGGCAGCAGCTGCGGCTTGGAAGGGTAACACTGGGCAGCGTGCATGGCAGCGCTGGCGGCGGCTCAGCAGGGCAGGGCAGTGCTGAGCAGCGCGTGCAGGCAGGACAACAGTGGCAGCGGCCGGCAGCAGCACCGGTAGTGGCCGGCAGCTGTGGCGGCAGCAGCAGGCAGCAGCTGCGGCAGGGCGCGCATAGGTGGCGCAGTGCAGGGCGCGCACAGGCAACGCAGGGCAGGGCGCGCACAGGCGGCGCAGGGCATGGGCGGTGCACGGGCAGCTGGGGCAGCGTGCGTATAGAGCAAGCAGCACGCGGGCAGGGCGCGGGCCGCACTGGCAGCGCGTAGGCTGCCCAGGCAGCGTGCGGGCAGCGCAGACAGCTAGCGGGTCGCGCTAAGGGGCGCATTAAGGGGCGCACTAAGGGGCGCGCTTCGAGCACGAAAAACGATGTGCCTAGGGGCGCGATTTGGGCTGGAAGAACGACGCGCCTAGGGGCGCACGACGGGCAGGAACTAACTAATGGTGGGCCTTTAAAAATAAATATATTAGGTCTTAAGCTAGGAACGCCCTAGCTCTTAATACCATGTTGAGATAGGTAGGAAGGAGTGATTAGCTTAGGTCAAGGGAGGGGTACAAAGCAAGTGTCAAGAGAAAGGTTGTACCCCTAAGGGGCAACTCACTACAGGCTAAACATATATACCCCTAAACATATACCTCTACCGCTGAGGCTGAGATTTACGCTGGAGCCATGGCTGCACAGGAGCTGCGTTGGTTGACCACCTTGCACACTGACCTTGGTGAGCGGCCGAGCTCTGCACCGACCTTATTTACTGACAACAAGGCGATGATTCTCCTGTGTCAAGAGCCTTGACTGGAGAGTAGAGTGAAGCACATCAACGTCAGGTACTTTCTTCTTCGAGAGTTGCAGAGGCGTGGACAAGCTCGTTTCGACTTTGTGGGCTCTGAGGCCAACACTGCAGACATCTTCACCAAGGCCCTTCCGCCTTGTGACCACCACAGGTTTTATCTGCAGCTAGGTATCGTAGACACATGTTCTCGTCTTGTGTAGACTTGTCTTCTCTGCCTGTTTTGTTTGTACTTTTTGCATATACCTGTGTGATAAAACTGGCCTTGTGGCCTCTTGTTTGTGCTCGGACTGTGTGGTGACGTTGTGATCCACCCTGAACTTTGTCTCTTTGTGACTGGTCTTGTGACCGTACGGTTTTGTTGTTGCATGACACCCCTCACTTAGTCTATGGGGGTGTGTCAAATATTGTAGCCTGTAGTGATGCTTGTCATGTGGGGGTACAATTGTAAGGGTTAGGCATATGTACCCCAACTCACAGTAATACCACCATCATTCAGTTTCTGACAATCATATATTACTTTGACAATGTACTCTGAGGGGGTGCATTCCCTTAAGGCTTATCTAGATCGGGAAAACCAACCGTGCGCTTCAGCAACGGTATGCCCCACGGTAACTGTTTGAAAGTTTTCCCGCGCTTTGCTCTTCGAATTCTTCCTGCTTTCAACCGTCTTTGATAACCTCTTGTGTCGCTCGGTCTTCGTCCCCGCTGCAGTCATCTTGGTGTTAAGAGTGTGTTACTCTAGGAATGTTATTCAACAGTTCCATATCGTAACAGCCTCCTTCCCCCCCCCCCTCCCTCCCCCCCTCCCCCCCGCCCTGTCAAATGTTGTAGCCTTTAGTGATGCGTGTCATATGGGGTACAGCAGTTAGGGTTAGGTTTATGTACCCCAACCCACAATAGTCAATCATCATTCAGTTCCTGACATAGTATCAGAGCAGCGGGAGCAGCCGCAGCAAGACCAGCGGCAGCAGCCGCAGCAGCTGGAGCAACAGCAGCAGCCGCAGCAGCTACCGCCTCCGCCTCCTCTCTCTGGCCTTCGGACCCTCTGTCTCCCCTCTCCCACTCCTTCCTCCTCCTCCTCTCCTCCTGTCTACGGTCCCACGTTTCCTCCTCCTGACCCCACCCCGGTTGTTTTCCCCCATTCTCAGCCTCCGTTGCCCCCTCCTCTTTCTCACAGTTGGACTCCTCGCTCTCCTCGTGCTCGTCCCTCGTCCCCTGTTCCCGTCACTGACCTTCGTACTGTCCTGTTTTGCCCTAGCTCCCCTCGTCCATCTCCGTCTGTGCTTCCTTCTCCTCCTGAGTCGGCCCTCACTGCTTCCCTCTCTACTCCTGTCACTGACTACTAGCACACGTACCGTCCTACTCTCTCTTATGTTCTCGCCTCTCTTGTTACCGACCGTCCTGCCTCACTGTCCTCTGTCTCTGCCCTTACTGCCACTGTCACTAGTTCGCCACTACTCACTGCCTTGACTACGCCACTCGTGTTGTGGCCGCTCCTCCTACCAGTCCTCTGGCCGTCGGGGGTGAGTCTGCCCTTGGCTGTGACGCCCTAGAGGACAAGCAGTTTGAGCTAGAGTTCCTGGCAGCTGCTTCCCCTCATCTCTGTTCCATGCTGCTCGCCCCTGAGGGAGACCCCGATGCCCTTGACATACCGACTCCTCGCACTTACGCTGAGGCAGTGTCAGGGCCTTGGGCCTCTCAGTGGAGAGCTGCCATGGACGCAGAGATGGCCTCCTACAGATCCACAGGCACCTACGTCGATGAGGTTCCCCCCTCGGGGGCGAACGTAGTCGATGGCATGTGGATCTTCAAGGTGAAGCGGCCACCGAAATCTTCTCCAGTATTCAAGGCGCGCTATGTGGCTAGAGGTTTCAGTCAGCGCGAGGGAGTTGACTTCTTTCAGACCTTCGTGCCTACCCCGAAGATGACCACTCTTCGGGTGTTACTTCACGTGGCAGCACAGAGAGACTACGAGTTACACTCTCTCGACTTCTCCACTGCCTTCCTTCAGGGTAGCCTACACGAGGAGGAATGGTTGCGTCATCCCTCTGCCTTCACTGGCACTTTCCCTCCTGGGACCCAGTGGAGGCTCAGGCGACCGGTCTATGGTCGCCGTCAGGCGCCTCGTGAGTGGCACGACACCCTTCGCTCTACCCTGTCTGACCTCGGTTTCCAGCCGTCTTCTGCCGACCCGTCGTTGTTCGTTCGTCGTGGCTCCACACCGTTCTTTGTACTGGTCTACGTCGACGACCTAGTCTTAGCCACTGCTGACAGGGTTGTTTTGGCTGACGTGAAGTCCAAACTACAGAAGGGACACACGTGCACTGACATTAGTAAGCTGTGCCACTACCATGGCCTGCAGATCACCAGGGACAGAGCCGCTCGCACCATTACACTCTCACAGTCACACATGGTGCAGCAAGTCCTTCAGCGGTTCGGGCTTCAGCACTCCACCGTACAGCGCACACCTCTTGCCGTTGACCACAGACTCACTGGTCCCTTTCCTGACGAGCCATTTTAGCCTAGTGGTCCTTACGCAGAGCTGGTGGGCTGCCTCATGTACCTGATGACTTGTACTCGCTCGGACCTCGCCTTCCCTCTCAGCATCCTTGCCCGCTTTGTTGCGCCAGGGAGACACCAACCTGTTCACTGGACAGCTGCTGTGAGGGTGGCGAAGTACCTAGCGACGACATCAGGCATGGGGCTGGTACTTGGAGGGAGACAGCCTGTCATACTTACTGGTCATTGTGACTCTTCTTATGCTGACGACGTCGCGACTCACAGGTTTACTCAGGGGTATTGTTTTAGCCTGGGCTCCGGAGCTGTTTCGTGGAGGTCCACGCGTTCCTCCTCGGTCTCGACCTCTAACACTGAGGCTGAGATCCACGATGGAGCCATGGCTGCACATGAGCTGCGTTGGTTGACCTTTTTGCTCACTGACCTTGGTGAGCGGCCGAGCTCTGCACCGACCTTGTTTACTGACAACAAGGCGACGATTCTCCTCTGTCGAGAGCCTCGACTGGAGAGCAGAGTGAAGCACATCAATGTCAGGTACTTTCTTCTACGAGAGTTGCAGAGGCGTGGACAAGCTCGTTTGGACTTCGTGGAGTCCGAGGCCAACACTGCAGACATCTTCACCAAGGCGCTTCCGCCTTGTGACCACTAGAGGTGTTGTGTGCAGTTAGGTCTCGTTGACACAGGTTCTCGTCTTGCATAGTCTTGTGTTGTTAGCTTGCTTTGTTTGTACACTTTGCATATACCTCTGTGAACTCTTGGACTGGCCTTGTGGCTCTTTTGCTTGTGCTCGGAGTGTGTGGTGACGTTGTGATCCACCCTGAGCTTTCTTTGCTTTTCTTGACTGGTCTTGTGACCGTACGGTTTTGGGTTTGGTTTATGTACCCCAACCTACAATAGTCAATCATAATTCAGTTTCTGACACTCCCCCCCCCCCCCTCCCCCCAAAGTGCACTCTTGCTTCAAGACTTCCACTGTTTTAACTCTTACCGTATATCCTTGGCAACTTACCGTATGGCCCCGGATATAGGCGCCGTCCGATTAAAGGCGCCGGCGCTTCTATCTGGAGCATGGCGCTTATGGGTGGAACTCGATTATAAGCGCCCCCCTTGTAAACCCCTGATTTATTATAAGCGCATGCATAATTTTATTTTTTCAATCTTGATTAAAACAGTAACGAATCTCAACTTCCAAGCGAGTCAGCACCCATTTTCACCTTGTTTGACTTTCGAGGTCCTGACTGGTTGCGCGTCCAGTCAGGATGAGGTGGCACGCTGGCAAATTGACGTGCCAAATGCTCTGTTCAGCGTCAGAGAATCGCCCTCGCGCGATTCTGATTCAGAACGCTGTAAAATTTCGACTCGATTGAATGTACGAGACAGAAATGTACAATTTGGTGTGTTTAATTTATAATTCTATATTTGCCATGATATAAGCGCCGGCGCTTATGGCCGTGATTCAATTACAAGCGCCACCCCTATTAAAAACCGATTTTATTATAAGCGCAGATGCGCCTATATCCGGGGTAATACGGTATCATGTCCACTAACCAAAACATCTTCCAGTTAGGTATGTCAACAACTTCCAGGTGCCGAGTTTCTGTTTGTTTTGTGTATCATAAAATGAATTTGGGAAATGTCAACATGAAAGTAACATAACGGCGAAGTGGCAGCGACGTGAAAATTTCCTTGGGACGTTAAAAAGTTTTGTTTTAAGGATGATCAAAATGAATGAAATTGAGTCTGGATTTTTTACACATTCAAGAGAAATTTGAAACTTTAGAGAGTTGAGCAAGCTTTCAGCCTTGAGTAGACTAATAGTTTAACCTTCCCTCTTCCCCTTGTGTAGACTTCAGCGCCCACGCTTTCGGATAACGCAATCGCATCACGACAGTGGCGAAGAGGGTTTCCTCCTGCTGGGTCAAACGGCCAGCGATTGTACGGCCTTGCTCGCTGAAAATCACACTTCACTACTTCATTCCCCCCGAGCAGGAGCACGAGCACAACCACCAGCGTGTTGTCGCGGCGTGGTAGCAACCCAGTTCTGATTGTGCGACGCGGTTCATAAGCCCGGCATGCGGCATGCGACTTCTCCACTGCCGCTTTCAGCGGTTCCTCGTGCTCTCCGCTCTCGCCGCTCGCCGCTCCGCTAGTCTCGACGCCACATTGCGCCGCGTGCCGCGTGCCGCGCAATCATCCCGACATTGCTATTTTTCCACTCCGTTTTCTCCTTGCCTCTAGCGTAGCGCGCGCCGTGCGCCAGCATGGCGCGCATGGTGCAGTGCCCGCGCTGCCGCGCCGTTCTGCAGGAGCCGCCGCCGGGCAACCCGTTCTACAAATGCGGCAGCTGCATGACCGTCCTGCAGGGTAACGCCCCCCCATCCCCGCTTCTTCCCCTTCCCTCCCCCCTCCCCCCTATCCCCTCGCGCTCTTCCTCGCAACTCGTTTTCTACAAGTGAGGCAGCCGCATGACCGTTCTGCAGGGTAACGCGCACCGCCCCCCGCAACACGCTCTCCGGGTTTATTTTTAAGCTAGATTGATTCATTCCCTCCATATGCCCTCGCTCTTGCTCTCTCTTGCCCCGCATGCGTCCTTACCCTCCCCACCTTCGCCCCTCCCCTCACCCGTTGCCCCTCACCCATTGCCCCGCGCCCATTGCCCCCATCTCGTGCGCGCAGCGCGCCACGCCGTGTACGGGGGAGTGCCGCGCCACCCCGTCGGCATTGACGTCGGAGGGCGCTCGTCCGCCTCCTTCTCCCCCCTCCCGCCCCCCCACTCGCGCGGTCCCCCCGTTCCGCGCATCCACAGCGCAGACCGCCCCCCGCCGTCTCTCTTCGCGTCTCCGCACGCCACCCCTCCGCGACCCCCGCAGATCTCCAAGTCGCTCTCGCAAGGCGCCTCCTCCTCCGCGCTTCAAAATACTCCCGCCTCCTCCTCTCCCCGCGCGACCGCGGCCTCCTCTTCCCCGCGCACCTCCCTTTCCGCCGACCCCTCGTCCCTGTCCTTCCGCCCGCGCGCCCTCTCCGCCTCCTTTGCTGGGCGCGGCGGGGCGGGCGCGCGAGCAACGCTGTTTGGGCACGAGATGGCGGAGTGGGGGGACGAGGGCGCGGAGGAAGAAGAGCCCGGGGAGTTAGGCACAGGGGCATGGGCGGGGGAGGGGAAGGGCGGAGGGGCGGAGCCAGGGGAGGGCGGATTCGGTGGCCAGGCGGACACACCTTACCGCAGGGGCAGGGGGGAGGAGGTCAGTGGCGGAGGGGCGCAGGCATGGGCGCAGAGTGGCGGGCAGGAGGAGGGCAGTGGGGAGTGGGGGCAGGGCGAGGGGGACGAGGGGGGCGCGCCAGCGGCGACAGCCAGCAGCCCCCCCAACCCCTCCGCCGCGTTTGGGCGCCAGTCCACCCTTCCCCCGCGCCTGCCCCGCCACGCCAGCCCCCTCCAGGCGCGCTCCCCGCGCTCCTCCGCCCGAGCAGGCGCGGCGAGGCGGAGGGCGCTGGGTTCTGGCATGTGGGCGGGGGCAGGGGGGAGCGGGAGGTGGGCGCAGGGGGAGGGGAACAGCGAGCGGGAGGGGGAGGAAAGGGGAGAGGAGGGGGAGGAGGCGGAAGAAGGGGAGGCAGTGGTGTGGCCGAAGGGGTGGGCGGAGATAGATGCTGCATGGTCGGAGGGGGATATGGGGGGAAGCATGGGCGGAAGCATGGGGGGGGACATGGATGGGGGAGTGGCGTGCAGTCAGAGCATGGATAGCGGGTATGGCATCAGCAGGGGCGGGCGGCAGGGCAGCAGAGGAAGCATGGATGGGGAGGGGGGGAGGGGGGGCAGTGGGAGGAGACTGAGCATGAGTGCGAGCATGAATGCGAGCATGGGCATGGGGTTGGGCTTGGGGGGGTTCGGCAGCAGCAACAGCAGCGGGGGGGGCGTGTCTCCACCATCATCATCAACAGCATCAGCATCAGCATCAGCACTGGCCCCGTCCATGTCGCTGCGCCGCCTCTTCTCCCGCCACGCCTCGCCCGCTGCACAGCGCGAGGACGGCAGCGCACCACAGCTGGCCACTGCAGGGTCGGGCATGGGGGCGGGGCGAGGAGGAGGCGCGGGGGAGGGCGAGGGGGAGAGCAGCGAGGGCGAGGAGGGGGGGGCGGGCGCCTTCACTCGGCAGTACACCGCCCCACCCCGCTGCTCCACTGGCAGCCAAGGCGACGGTCGCAGTGGGGAGGTTGAACCCCAGGGGCTGAGAGGGCCGGGGGGGAATGACTGGGATCCGCCTGCTGACCTGGACCGGCAGGGCAGCTTGCCTGCCACGTCAGCAGGCGAGGGCGAGGAGAAGGCAAGGGAGGGGAGGGAGGGGAGGGAGGGGAGGGAGGGGGGGAGGGGTAGGGAGCGGCGCAACATGAACATGAACATCAACATTGGGTCGAAGCTCAAGTCGCTGTGGGAGGCCAAGCCGGGTGCCTCGCCTCGCAGCAGCAGCAGCAGCAGCAGCATCGGTAACAACACCACCAGCAACAGCAACAGCGGCAGCAGGGGGCCCCCCATGCAGCGCAGCAACACGGACTCGCGGCGCTCGCCCACGGGCGGGATGGGGCGAGGGGGCATGCAGGCGGGCGAGGAGGGGGGCGCGGAGGGGAATGAGGCAGGGGGGCTGTTCCGCTCCCACACGAGTGGGCGCATGGGCAGTGGCCCGGGTGGGAGTCCAAAGGGGGGCGCGTGCAATGATGACAGCGGCAGTGGCAGCGGCAGCGGCAGGGCACCAACACGGCATGCGTCGATGGCTTTCCACTTCTCGCCAGCTGTGCTGGCCCCCTCCACGCGCTCGCCCCGCTCCTCCTCCTCCTCCTCCTCCTCCTCCACCGCTCGCTCTCTGTTCCTCGCCACCTGGCTGAAGTTGCAGCCGGCGCAGGAGGAGAAAGCGGGGAGGGCTGTAATGGCGTTGAAGGGGAGGAGAGCAAAGGGGGGGTGTCGCAAGGGGAGGGCGTGCAAGCTGATTCAGCTGCTGGTGCGCCGCTCTCCCCCTCACCTCTCTCCCCGTCACCCCTCTCCCCCTCGCCTCTCTCTCCTGCTGTGTCCAGCAGTCGCCACATAGCTCGCAGCTTTCAGAGTGCGAGGGAAGTGAGAGGGGGCCCTGCCATGCTCGGCACCCATGCCACGGCCAGCGCTCCTGGCTCACCCATGCGGGGGGCAACAGCCGTGCAGGCAGTACGCATGGCATCGGTGGGAGGCGGTGCGGCGCCTGCTGGGGATGCAGGGGCGGAGGAGGCTGGACGTGGTGGCAGGGCGGAGGGCGGAGCAGCAGAGGGGCGTGAGGATTCGGAGAGAGGGGAGCCTGGGGAGGGCGTTCAAGCAGGAGAGGCAAACAGAGAGAGCAGTGGGGCGGAGGGTGGAGGCGCAGCGGCGGAGGAGGGGGAGGAGGGGCCAGCAAAGGTGAAGGTGACGCGGCGGCAGTACATGGAAATGAAACGCGCTGCAGAGGCCGCTGCTGCTGCTGCTGCTGCTGCTGCCCAGGCCGCTGCACAGACTGGTGGAGGTGGCAGTGGTGGTGCGCCCCCCCCAGCAGCTGTGCCCGCCACCCCGCGGTCGCGCTTCGCTGAGGCCCTGCAGAGCCCGCGCCTGCTGCCAGAGTGGCACGGCGGGCGGGGCATGGGCGCGGGCAGAGGGGCGGGCAGTGTGCTGGAGAGACGCAAGTCGGGGCTGCGAGGCAAAGCAGCGAGAGATGCCGCCACTCCTGGTGCTGCTGCTGCTGCTACTGCTGAAAGGGCTTCTAGTGAGGGCGGTGCTGTGGGTAGTGGCATGCAGGGCGGAAGGGAGGGCAGCCGAGGTGCAGATGTGGAGGGCAGTGGTGATGTGAGGCTGGCAGGGAGCGTGGGCGATGCAGGGACAGGCGAGGTGGGGGGAGTTGAGGAGGGTGAGGGCGAGGTGGTGAAGGAGGCCAGGGAGGGCGGTGGAGAAGCGAGTGCGGAGTTGCCTTGCCTGCCGCCGCCTGACGCCCCTCAAGTCGTGCAGGTGAGCTCACATGCATCGCCATTCACATGCATCGCCATTCACATGCATCGCCATTCACATGCATCGCCATTCACATGCATCGCCATTCACATGCATCGCCATTCACATGCATCGCCATTCACATGCATCGCCATTCACATGCATCGCCATTCACATGCATCGCCATTCACATGCATCGCCATTCACATGCATCGCCATTCACATGCATCGCCATTCACATGCATCGCCATTCACATGCATCGCCATTCACATGCATCGCCATTCACATGCATCGCCATTCACATGCATCGCCATTCACATGCATCGCCATTCACATGCATCGCCATTCACATGCATCGCCATTCACATGCATCGCCATTCACATGCATCGCCATTCACATGCATCGCCATTCACATGCATCGCCATTCACATGCATCGCCATTCACATGCATCGCCATTCACATGCATCGCCATTCACATGCATCGCCATTCACATGCATCGCCATTCACATGCATCGCCATTCACATGCATCGCCATTCACATGCATCGCCATTCACATGCATCGCCATTCACATGCATCGCCATTCACATGCATCGCCATTCACATGCATCGCCATTCACATGCATCGCCATTCACATGCATCGCCATTCACATGCATCGCCATTCACATGCATCGCCATTCACATGCATCGCCATTCACATGCATCGCCATTCACATGCATCGCCATTCACATGCATCGCCATTCACATGCATCGCCATTCACATGCATCGCCATTCACATGCATCGCCATTCACATGCATCGCCATTCACATGCATCGCCATTCACATGCATCGCCATTCACATGCATCGCCATTCACATGCATCGCCATTCACATGCATCGCCCGTCACATGCATCAGCCTTCATGTGCAATCTCCTTCTCTTCCGCCGACCCATCTTCTACATGACTTTGAGATTCGGCTCTTTCATGACCCCCCAACCCCCCCTCACCACCTTTCATTCCATCCACGCCTCCCCACTGCCCCCCCCCCCATCAGTGTCCGCACTGCTCTCAAGCCCTCGCCGTGCCGCCCATGCCGCGGCGCCGCAAGCAGGGAGGCACGCAGAAGCTGCGGTGCGGCGGGTGCCAGCAGATCTCCACCTTCGCTGCCCTGCCTCCCTCCCAGCACTCTCAACCCCACCAGCCGCCCTTCGCCCCTGCCCACCCCCCATCCTCACCATCAGCGTCCCTCAGCCCATCCCCCCGCCACCTCCTCGCCTCCCCCTACCGCTCCCTCTCCTCCCCCCTCGCGCGCCTCCCCCCCGCCATCCCCTCCAGCCCCCATGGCTCCCCCAGTTCCCCCGGTGCCACGCCCAGGGCGGCCCCCCAGTCCCCCCAGGGCGTGCCCAGGAGCACGAGCCAGGAGAGTGGGTCGAGGGGGGCGGGGGGCGGCTGGCAGGGGGGGAGGCAGGGCGTGGGGAGCAGGCGGGGGGAGGCGACAAGAGACCTGTCGCCCCTCAGCGTGCCCTCGCCCCGCCTCGCCCGCACTCGAGCGAGCCCCGCCCCGTCGCCCCTCAAGGGGTATTCAGGGGCGGGGGGCGCAGGGAGAGGCATGAATGGCGTGGTGGGGGGAGGGACAGGAGGGGGGAGAGAGCGGGGAGGTGTGAGTTGCTTGGGACAGGAGGGAGACGCAGAGGACGGGGATGGGGCAGTGGATGGGGCGGCGCGTGTGAGTGGCAGAGAGAGGGAGGGCGAGTGGTGTGGGGCAGCGTGTAGGACGGAAGGGTGGGAGGGGCAGACGGGCGGAGGGGACGGGCAGGAGATAGAAGGCGAGGGGTGGGTGGGGGGCAGCATGGGGAGCGAGTGGAGTGGGGGGGCGAGCACAGAGTGGAGTGGGGGAGGGGGCAGTGTTCAATGGAGCGGTGACAGCGGCAGTGAGTGGGCGGGGGAGCGCGGTGGGGCGAGGGAGGGGGAGATGTACGAGCGGCGAGTGGTGGTGAACGGTGCGGCCATCAGCGATGCAGACGTGCAGCAGGCAGAGCTGCTGGCAGGACCCATCGACCCCGGAAATTACTGGTGCCCCTCTCCTCCTCCCTCCCATGCCTCCTTCTCCCTCCCATGCCTCCTCCTCCCTCCCATGCCTCCTCCTCCCTCCCATGCCTCCTACTCCCTCCCATGCCTCCTACTCCCTCCCATGCCTCCTCCTCCCTCCCATGCCTCCTCCTCCCTCCCATGCCTCCTCCTCCCTCCCATGCCTCCTCCTCCCTCCCATGCCTCCTCCTCCCTCCCATGCCTCCTACTCCCTCCCATGCATCCTACTCCCTCCCATGCCTCCTACTCCACCCTCCATACCTCTTTCTTCAACCCCCTACTCGCTCCCTTTACCCGTGCTCCATCGCCCCGCCGCTGCCTCCCTCTTGTCATCTCCCTTGTTCCGTTCTTACGTGCTTGCTCGCTCAGCTTGCCCCACTTGCCCCGCTCTGCTCCCCTGCAACCCTCCGCAGGTACGACATGCGAGCTGGCTTCTGGGGAGTCGTGGGTGGGCCCAGCCTCGGCATTCTGCCTGTGAGTTGCGCTCTGCACCTCCTTGCACCTCCTTGCACCTCCTTGCACCTCCTTGCACCTCCTTATACCTCCTTGCACCTCCTTGCACCTCCTTGCATCTCCTACACCTCCCTGCTCGCATCCGCTGCATCCCTGCACCGCCAAAGCCTGCTCTGTTCGTTTCCACCTAACATTTTTAATGCAAATCTCTCCGTTTGCTGTCTCTCCTCTCCCCGAGCAAATCCTGTATCCGTTTTTAGGCGCAAAATGTTCCTTTCTCTCCACGTCGTCCTCCCCGTTATCTTCTGTCGCAATATTCTCCTTCTCCCTCTCTCTTCCCCTGCAACCCCTGCATGCACTCCCCTCCCCCCTCCTCCCAGGCGAACATACCGCAGCTGAGGGAGCCAATGAGGCGGGACTGTTCAGGGGGGCGCACGCGCGTGCTGGTGAACGGCCGTGAGCTGTGCCAGCGGGACCTGGCGCCACTCACACGGCGGGGCATGCCAGGGGCAGCGCAGCGGCAGTACACTCTGGATGCCTCGGGGCAGCTGCGTGACGCCGCCTCCTCCGCCCTCGTCTCCCACCTCGGCCACCTCGCCCCCTCGTATGGCCCCCTGCCTGCTCTCTCCTATGGCCCCCTGCCTGCTCTCTCCTATGGCCCCCTACCCGCTCTCTCCTATGGCCCTGCCCCCTCATTTGCCCCCCTGCCCCTGACATGACCTATGTGGCTCGTGTCAGAGCAACTTACATCCTCTCGCTTGCCACGTGTGCACTCGCCTGGCGTTCCTCTTGTCTCTCTCTTTTTCCCAGATTGGAGTCCACGAGAGGCAACGGCATGTACACTCCCTCGCCCCGCTGAAGCTCCCAGTGCTGTGTCCGCCAGCAGATGGGGACCATGTGTCTCTGTTGTTCACGCATCCTCACATATGCTAATCCGCTTCATTCACTACTTGGAAGCGTGAGTAATCCATGATGCTAGAATAAACATTATTATTGTTGTTTATCTGGTCTTTCATGTCGCTCCTCCATTATTCAGTTCTATGTTGAAGCACTTTTGCTTCCTGATATCGTTTCATAGTCCAACGTGCCACATCACATGTCAGTACACTTATCACCTTGTCCCTTTATATATCGGACCCAGCTGAAGCTCGGATAAACTGAGAACTTCTCGCACGACACAGCTGCGATGGTCCAGTTGAGTTGCGAACAATTCGCGACGCATCCGCCAATCCAAGGCGACGCAGACGATCCGTACGAGGCGGGGCGACGACCTCCTCACCGCCCAACTGCCGAATTTCATTCTTGGCGCGGGAGAGTTTTCCTGCTTGCACTGTTCCAGCGCTATTCATGGCGCGTCCCAGGCATGGGTGATATATGTTCTTGGCATACGACTCGTAATTATCAGGACGCAGAAAGAGTAGACAATCGTTCGTCAGTCGCGATCGTTTACAGATCGGTTACCCTTATAGCTAAGCCGTAACCATGCTACAGTTGGCTTTTGGCAAAAAAAATCTGTACAGTGTGGGAATGAGACTGATCACTGATTGCAGGGGATCTGTCAGTTCTCAGGTGCGATCGTTACAGCGTCGCGGTCGCCACGCTTCGCCAATCGATCAGCCCACTCGATTGTGGGGCTCGATATTTGAAGACGATCCTGCGATATTTGCATTCTAACCGCGTCCTCAGTATCTAGAACGGCCAACTAGCGAAGGCGAGAGTTTGAGCCTCGTGGCGTTTTCAGAGCGGCGTTCGCGATTCCATACGTTCTCCGAAGCTTCGCCATGTCCGCTTACCTTCCACGATCTCGTTGCTAAGACACATTTCTCGCCAAAACAGCGACGATCTAGCCGCTCAATTTAAAAACATATCGGTTCCTTCTTAATATAGCAGAGCTTCCGTCTCGCTCTCCCCGCCGCGATGACCATTCCGAACCCTATATTTCCGTCCGCGTCTCGAGCCGACGTGAGAAGTCGGTATCAGCTGGGGCGGGAGCTGGGCAAGGGCGGCGGCGGCGTGGTTAGGGTTTGCGGTGATGTGGTGACGGGCGAGGCTGTGGCGGCGTGTAAGAGCATTCCAAAATGCAAGCTGCAGGTGCGCGCGGAGTGGGGGAAGGGAGGGAGTAGGGGGGGTTTGAGGCGGGTGCGGAGGGGCAGATCAAATCGGCGAGAATGCGCTCGGCTGCGGCGACTCACTCACGGCGGACGGTTGTACGAACATGGATGGGTCGTTGAATGGGCGGGAACGGTGTGGTAAAAGGAAATGTCGTGGTGAGGGGGACTGACGCGATAGGGGGAAATGGCGCGCTTCGGGGGAACGGCGCGCTGAGGGTGGCGCGCTGAAGGGGAGCGGCGCGCTGAGGGGAATGACGTGAATGCGGGATAGACTTTTGTCCAAACGTCGCGCCTCTCGTCATCCCGTCGGATTCACGCTTTCTTTTCCCTAACCCTTCATCGTTCTCATAAAGAGCTCCTTCCCCGCATCTCCCCCGCTGCTCCATCCTCCCCCTGCGCCCCGCTTCTCTGCTCCTCCCCGCGTTCACCCGTGCGCGCAAATGCTGCTCCCCACGCGCGCAGCGCAAGGAGGCGCGCGAGGAGCTGCAGGGGGAGGTGGCGGCGATGCGGCGCGTGGGGGGACACGCGCACGTGGTGGCGCTGCGCGCGCTGTTCGAGGACGCGGAGAGCGTACACCTAGTCATGGACCTCTGCGCGCACGGCGATCTCTACGACTACCTCATCGCGCGCACCACGCTGCCCGAGCCGCTCGCCGCTGACGTCACCAGGTGAGCTGAGCACTGACGTCACCAGGTGAACAGTGACGTGGCCAAGTGATGCACAGATATTGCCCGCGCGCGGTCGTGCTGCTTGTGCGTTGCGTTGCCCCGAGCGCAGCGCATCAGCCTGTGTGCCATCCATCTGCCACGTGAAGCAGAGCTGCCTCACCTCACATCCCACCATTACCTCCCCACCCTACCACTCCTGCCACATCCTGCTCCCCCTGCCCCCCTGCCCCCCTGCCCCCCTGCCCCCCTGCCCCCCTGCCTCGCATCTGACGTGCTGCTCCGCAGCAGGAATTAAGTCATTCCCGTGCTCACCGCCCCACCCTCTCTCCCTACTCCCATCCCTCTCTCTGTTTCCTCCCCCTCGTCTGTCCATTCCCCCATCCATCCCCCTCCTACCCCTCCTCCGCGCCCCACGTGGCCCCTGAAGGCAGATCCTGCTGCTCCTGCACCATTGCTACTCGTCGGGCGTGGTGCATCGGGACAAGAATGAAGCCACTCTCGGCACTCACCACCCTGCCCACCGCCCCATCCTCTCTCCCTACTCCCATCCCTCTCTCTCCCTACTCCCATCCCTCTCTCTCCCTACTCCCATCCCTCTCTCTCCCTACTCCCATCCCTCTCTCTCCCTACTCCCATCCCTCTCTCTCCCTACTCCCATCCCTCTCTCTCCCTACTCCCATCCCTCTCTCTCCCTACTCCCATCCCTCTCTCTCCCTGCTCCCATGCCTCTTTCTCCCTGCTCCCATGCCTCTCTCTCCCTCCCCCATGCAGACAGATCCTACTGCCACTACACCACTGCCACGCGTCCGGAGTGGTGCATGGGGACATGAATCAAGCCACTCCCGCGCTCACCACCCTGCTCACCGCCCCATCCTCTCTCCCTGCTCCCATCCCCTCCTCCCATCCGCTCTTCCCTTCACCCTCCAATCCCCCAAGCAGGCAGATCCTACTAGCCCTACACCACTGCCACGCGTCAGGAGTGGTGCATCGGGACATCAAGCCGGAGAACATTCTGCTGGCCGCCAGGGACGACGCAGCAGGCAAGCTGCACCTCAAGCTCGCCGACTTCGGCCTGGCCGTGATGCTGCGAGCGGGGCAGCAAGCGGTGGGCATGTACGGCAGTGCCGTCTACATGTCTCCGGAGGTCGTGTGTCGCCGCCCCTATGGGCCCGCTGTTGACCTCTGGGGGCTGGGCGTCATCCTCTACACCGCTCTCTCAGGTGCCGCTCTCCTCTACACCGCCCTCTCAGGTGCCCCTCCTGCTTCTACGCCCTCCTCGCGCACACATCCCAACCTGCTTTTTCCTCGTACCTCGCTATTCTGCCGCTCTTTTCCTCCCATGTCCCCATGCCACCTGCCCCTCTCACCAGCTGCCATTTCTTCCTTCACCAACGCACCCCTCTCCCCCTTCTCTTCCCACCCCCCGCCCACTCGCTCACCCCCCTTTTTTTTCGGGTAGGCTACATGCCGTTTTGGGGCAGCACGGACGAGCAGCTCTTCTTCCGCATTCTGCGCAACCAGCCCGACTTCACCATCGCGCCCTGGCCCTCCGTGGCGCCCGCCGCCATCGACCTCGTGCGCTGGCTGCTCTCCTCCGACCCCGCCCACCGCCCCTCTGCTGCCGCCGCGCTGCACCACCCCTGGCTCGCCCACCACTGCGGCCGCATCGCCCTCCCCTCGCCCCGCCCTGCCCCGGCCCCGTGTGTTCCGGTGGGGGCGCCTGGGTGGGCGGGCGAGGGCGGTGTGGATGGTGGCAGGGACGGGAAGGGAGAGGGTGGGCGCGTGAAAGCAGCCGCAGAGGTGGGCGGGGGTGCGGCTGTGGCAGGGGGCGCGGAGGGGGTTGGCAGTGGGAGGGGCAGTGCGGCAGGTGCAGCAGCAGCAGCAGCAGCAGCAGGCGGTGAGAGGGACACGGAGATGGGCGGTGTGGAGCAGCCGAAGACCACGTGGGACAGCTCTGCAGGCAGTGGGGCAGCGGCAGCGCGAGGAGAGGAAGGGGGCAGGCAGGATGGGACGCAGGAAGAGCAACGAGAAGAGGATAGCAGGCGGGAGCAAGGGGCTGGGGCAGCGGCACATGGCAGCATGGATGTGGATTCACAACAGGGGGCGAGCACAGCGCAGCAGGGGCAGAGCATGGCACAGCAGGGCGGGCGGCAGAAGCAGCCCAAGGCGCCGCCCATCCAGCTGCCTCTCTTCACCTCCTTCACCGGCCCTGCCTCGCCCCTCTTCTCCTCGCCCACTGCCAACCGCTCTGCTGCTGGCGCTGGCAGCGGTGGTGGTGGCAGCGGTGTGTTCCTCTTCACTGCTCGCCCTTCAAGTGGCAACACCAGCCACGCAGGGTCGGGAGGGAGCATGTGGGACAGGGAGGGCAGCAAGGCGAAGCACAAGGAGCAGCAGCGCCACTCGCATGCACACAAGCAGCAGCAGGAGCAGCAGCGAGGTGCGGCATCAGCAGCAGCAGCAGCAGCAGCAGCAGCAGCAGGCAGCAAGGACGGGCACAAGGAAGGCACTGCGAAAGCACCCGTGGAGGCTATAGAGCAGAAGCCCCGCCGGTCGTCGCACTTCCGGTTCTTCTCCCCCAAGCGCAAGGCTCGCCGCTCCCACGTCGTTGTCTCCACCGCCCCGCTCCCTGCCCCTCCGCCGCCTCCCCTCTCATCCCCGTCCCCATCCCAGTCCCCTGTGGGCGCGTCTCACCCCAACACCCAGGCCACTCCCCCCGACCGCCCGTCCTCTGCCCCCATGGCGTCCATCACCGTCCCCCTCGTGCGCCGCAACCCCCCCTCCTCTGCCCCTGCAGGCCCCCCTGCTGATGCTGCTACTGATGCTTCTGCCCCCCCTGATACTGATACTGGTGCTGCTGCCTCTGCTGCACCTGTTGTGTCTGTCACCATCCCTGTCATCCCGCCCAAGCCCCCTCTCGACCCAACCCAAGAGCTCCCATCCGTACCTGAGATCCAGGCTCGGCTATCCGGGCCTGACGGTTCGATACCAGTGTCGTCTCTCTTCTCCTTCCTGCGGCCCCTCAATCCCATGGCTGCCAGGAAATCCTCCTCGTCCTCCTTCTCCCGCGCTGTACCCCGCCCCGGCTCCGACTCCCCCTCGTCCGTTGCGCCGCCCAGCTTCCTCTACAGCCCCCGAGAACCCCTCAAGTCGCCCCACCACCACCACCACTCTTTCTCCGCAGCCAGCACCACCAGCAGCGGCGGCCTGCTCCCCTCCACCAGCGCTCCCGGTGCACCCGCTGCAGCTGCCGCTGCGTCGGAGCCGTCGTTTGGCTTTGGGCGACTGGCGCGGCCGCTGCACGGCATGGCGGCCCTCATGCGCCCCGCGTCCCCCTCTGCCTCCTCTCCCGCGCTCGCCCCGTCGCCCTCAGAATCACCGCAGCACAGCATGGGGACGGGGACGGGGTGGGCAGCAGCGAGGGCGCACACACACGACGATGGCTCCACAAGCACAGTGTCGCGCGCACCCCTCACCACCTCTGCCAGCGCTCCCAACGTGGCCACCATGCCTGCTGGCAGTGCTGCTGCCGGGCCTGGCAGCTCTGCTGCAGCCGGGCCTGCAGTGCCGCATGCACCTCGCCGCGCCAGAGGGCTCAGCTCCATCGTGAAGGCATTCGCCTCTCTCTCCACCGCTGCAGGTCCCCTGGGGAATGTGGGGTCCGGGCAGCAACACAGTGGGGTGAGCATGGGTGGCGTGGGCGGTGGTGGTGGTGGAAGAGAGAGTGTGAGGCGTGGAGAGGATTTGCGCAAGGAGCAGCAAGAGAATGGAGAGTCGCCGAGTGTGAGTCGCTCAGAAGCGGTTAGTGAAGGCGTGTCATCAAGGGATTCGTTCACATGGCAACGACAGGGTAGCTGGATCTTTCGACGATAATGCGCTGTGCACTGTTGGTTGCTCCCTCCGTGCATTATTGCATTGCGTTTATACAGTATCACAAGTGTATGTTTATGTTGTTTTCCTCAAAATGCAATGCAATTTGAAGGTCTGCTTCCTTGACAGACAGGCCCAAAATACTTCCCTGATATGGGATTTGTTTCATTGAATCAACCCGGATGCACAACACTACGAATACCGCTTGAAAAAGACTCGCGAAATTTTCTGTAACGAGTTCACTCCTACCCCCTCAAACGCGTCGGTTCGGTATCAAACGCAAATTCGTTTTCATTCACTTGGGCTTGTTTTGAAGTGCTGCTTGTCTGCTGCTGCTGCTGCACTTTCACGGGCTTGACGGACCCTAGACAAGTGTTGTCGTTTAATTCTCAGGCAGGCAGCTGAAAGATAGAAATTCGCCCCGTTAGCCTCGCTAAATATCTTTTCCGACCTTCCGATACTCTTCGCGAACACTCCGCCACCCTCGCTTTCTTCCCGCCGGCACTCCGCCACCCCTCGCGCCCTTGCGCGCAATGGCGGACCCGATGGATGTGGACCCCGCGGAAGCAGGCTTGCGGAAGGCGCGGGATAAAGGGAAGGGGAAGCTGGACGAGGGGGGGAAGGGGAAGGGGAAGGGGAAGGCGGAAGACGCGGCGGACGGGTCGCGAGGCGCCGCGGCCGCCTCTGCGATGCCGTGGGTGGAGAAATACCGACCCAAGTCGCTTGCTGACGTGGCAGCGCATAAAGACATCGTGGATATAAGTTAGTAGCCTGGGCTGGGAAGGTACTGTCAGCGTGAATTAAGGCGCCGCGTCTCATGGCGCCACGACTCGTGGCGCCACGAATCACGCAGCACGGTGGTGGGTGGGTGGAGCCATCATCACACCTTTGTCCCCACCCCCTCTCCTTATCTCTCACCCCTACTGTCGTCAGTCGCCTAGCCGCCTCCAAACGCCTGTCCCATGAGCTGCGTTACCTCCCTTGTGTCACCAGCAAGTCCTGCACCATGCTGCCAGCGGCACCATGCTGCCAGCGGCACCATGCTGCCAGCGGCACCATCTCAGCCCAACCCTCCGTTTCTCTCCCATCCCTCCCTTTTCTTTCCCTCTCTCTCTCTCTTGCTCCTTGCCCCTCCCTCCTCTTCTACTCCCCCTTGTCTCCCCCCATCCCTCTTCCCCATCCCTCTTCCCCATCCCTCTTCCCCATCCCTCTTCCCCATCCCTCTTCCCCATCCCTCTTCCCCATCCCTCTTCCCCATCCTCCCCATCCCTCTTCCCCATCCCTCTTCCCCATCCCTCTTCCTCATCCCTCTTCCCCATCCCTCTTCCCCATCCCTCTTCCCCATCCCTCTTCCCCATCCCTCTTCCCCATCCCTCTTCCCCATCCCTCTTCCTCATCCCCCGACCCCACTGCAGTCAGCCGCCTAACCGCGTCCAACCGCCTGCCCCATCTGCTGCTGTACGGCCCACCCGGCACGGGGAAAACCTCAACGGTGCTGGCGGTGGCTCGGCAGCTGTACGGGGCGGGGGGCGTGCGGAACATGTGTCTGGAGCTCAACGCCAGCGACGAGAGGGGCATTGATGTGGTGCGGCAGCAGGTGCAGGACTTCGCCTCCACTCAGTCTATCAGCTTCGGGTGAGTGAGTCAACGTGAGTCAACGCAAGTCCATCAGCTTCGGGTGAGTCAACGCCAGTCAACGCAATCAATCCGTTTTGCATCCATCCTCTGTCGCTCTCCTCCTCTCCGCTCCTTCGTTCCTTCACAAGCCATGTGCCTCCACCTCACATTGAGATTCTGAAGCTAGTTCATTCATGATTTCCGCCCGCCCTCCCCTTCACACCTCGTTCCCTAAGCACCAGTGAAGCCGACAGTGCAGGACGGGGTGCACCATCGTCCGCTCTTTTCCCTTCGCCCTCCCTGCCCTCCCTTTCGCCCTCCTTTTCGTTCACCCTGCCTTACCATTCCGTCCCTCCCCTGCCATTCCGTGTGTGCAGCGCCAAGGCGGCAGTGAAGCTTGTGGTGCTGGACGAGGCGGACGCCATGACCAAGGACGCCCAGTTCTCGCTGCGCCGCGGTGCGTGCCCCTGCTCTGCTCTGCTGCACTCAAAGCCAGAGTGGGAGAGTGGGAGAGTGGGAGATTGAGAGAGTGGGAGAGTGCATAACTGCGCTAGTGCATGTGGTAACACCCGTTCTCTGCCAGTCAATGCCTTTACCACGCACAATTGCTGTCTGTTGCACAATTGCTTTCTGTTGCACTTGAATCCGCTTCTCCTGATCTTCCCTCCCTCCCCTTCTGCTCCGTTCATTGCTCTCTCTCTCACCCTTTCCCGCATAACCCCTCCCGCTTTCCTGACCTTTACCTCTCATTCATCTTCTCCCCTTTCCTCCCTCCCTCCACCTCTCCTTCTCTCAGCCCAGTGATTAAGACGTCTGCGCAGCGCGCGCTTCACTCACTCTCCCACTCCCCTTCCCTTCTCTCCTGCTGTCTCACCTCCCTCGCCCCCCTTGCCCACACCAGTGATAGAGAAGTACACGCGCAGCACGCGCTTTTGTCTCATCTGCAACCACGTCAGCAAGATCATCCCAGCCCTCCAATCTCGATGCACGCGCTTCCGCTTCGCCCCGCTGTCCTCTGCTGACGTCACTGCCAGGCTCAGACACGTCATCCAGGAAGAAGGGTGAGTAGCTGGGGCGGTAAGGTAGAGAGGAGGGTGAATGGTGACTAGGTGGGAAGGCGTGTGTGCATGTTAAGGTGCCTGAAAAAAACGATGGTGACTGGGGTAGGGCTGTGTGGTTGGTTGACCGGGAGGGGGAAGAAGATTGTGGGTTGGGTGGGCTTGACAAAAGGGGCGGGCGGGGCGAGTGGTGACTGGGAGGGGTGAGAAAGCGAGGCATACTGTACCGTATCGGCCTTGCAGGATGAGCCGTGACCGCCTCCGCCATACGTACATCGCCGCCCACTCACCCATCTCTCTCGTTCTTTCTCCTCCCGTGCCGCCCAGCCAGTCTGGATGTGACAGATGGCGCGCTGTCAGCCATTGTGAGCCTCAGTGCGGGTGATATGCGCCGCGCTCTCAACATCTTGCAGGTACCACCTCCCTCAGGTACCGCCTCCCTCAGGTACACCTTGTGCATTTGCGTCCTCGCCCCACCCAGTGGCCATCCTCTCCCACCCTTCCACCACGTCGTCACCATCGCAGGGGAGGCGGGGCGCTGTGTGTCACCTCAGGCAACCCCATGCCTCCCTCCCACTCCTCCATTTCCCCCTGCCTCCTTTATACCCTCACCCCTAGTCCACCCACCACGTGCCGAGCCCCACGTGTTGTTATCCCTCTCACTACTTCTCCCCCATACCCTCCCGGTGCTCATTTTTCCAGAGTCCAAGCATGTGTCGTGCCCAGCCACCATGACAGAGGAAGCGGTGCATGCCAGCACCTGCAACCTCACACCCTCATACCCTCGTTTCCCTTCTCACCTTCCTGTCACCCCTTCCCTGTCCCCCTGCAACCCCCTCAGTCCACGCGCATGTCGTGCCCCACGGTCATGACAGAGGAGGCCGTGTATGCCAGCACGGCACCTGAAGTCTAGTACCCTTCTCCCTCCACCCTTTCCCCTCTCTCCTCGCGCTCCCCCCCAGTCAGCTCACATGTCATGTCCAAACACCATGACAGAGGAGGCGGTTTATGCCAGTACAGGCAACCCCATGCCCAAGGACATCCAGCAGATGGCGCACTGGCTACTCAACGAACCGTTCCGCACCGCACTGCAACGTGAGCTGATCACTGGCACTGCAGTGCAGCATGGATTTGACCCATTCACCACCGCATGAGCCACTAGCCCCATCGCATGAGAGGCATGTTAATCATCTGCTTACAGTCTCCCCAAGTACAAGGCTCAACTATGAACAAGCCCTCCTTCAACGGAGATAGAATTTACATGCGCGTCAAAGTTGGTACGCAACACCGCGGAGGGCGTTTTGTGACGGAGGAAGAGGCTGCACCCTGGGCTGCAGCTATAGGGGTGCTGAAGACTGAGGGGACTAAGGACATGATGTCGCAGGTCAAGGGTATATTGACGAAAGAAAAATAGAGGCAATTCAGAAAAACAAAGAGGAAATGGGAAGTTTGTGGGACAGGCTTAGCGATCAGAACATCAGCATGGAGGAGAGGCGGATGTGGGGCAGCCGAGAGGTGCTGCCAGAGGACTTGCAGCCTCTGCACAATACATGACTTGCCCTACCCGGAGCTCGCAGCTATGCGTTGTGCAGAGGTTGCAAGCCCTCCGGCAGCACCTCTTGGCTGCCCCACACCAGCCTCTCCTCCATGTTGATGTTCCGATCGCTAAGCCTGTCCCACCACCATGTTTCTCTGTATCGTCTCTATTTCCTCTTTCGTCAATATACCCTTGACCTGCGACATCATGTCCTTATTCCCCTCAGTCTCCAGCACCCCTATAGCTGCAGCTCAGGGTGGAGCCTCTTCCTCCATCACAAAGGGCCCTCCGTGGTGTTGCGTACCAAATTTGACGCTCACGCAGATTCTATCTCTGTTGAATATCACAATCTCCTTCTACCTCTTCCTCTCCCCGCTTCTCTCCCTGCCTGGTTCTCCATTTCCCCCACTCCTGCATCCCTTTCACCCTGCCTGCCCCCCTCCCCCTCTCCCTCGAGACAGGCATTCAGCGAGTGAAGGAGGTGAAGGGGCTGGCGCTCATAGACATTGTGCGCTACCTGCACGGGTATGTGTGTGTGTGGCTATGTGCTGTGCGGTCTGCAAGGGTATGGGCGCTACCTGCACGGGTATAAATGTGTGTGGCTATGTGCTGTGCGGTCTGCATGGGTATGTGCGCTACCTGCACGGGTATGGATGTGTGTGGCTATGTGCTGTGCGGTCTGCATGGGTATGTGCGCTACCTGCACGGGTATGTCTGTGTGCTGGTACTTGCTGTGCAAGGAATGCTCACAGCCACCATGCTCCCTGTGTGCCCGGACTCTCTCCATGTTGTTGTGCTGGCTGAGGACTCATGTGCCTACCCAGCTCCTCACACACAGGCCTTGAATCCAAGGCCTCATCTTGCTTTGTTGCCCCTTTCCCCTACAACACAACTCACCATTTCACGTCAATCAGGACACCTTTTTGAGGTGCCACAAGATTCATATTTCCCATCCTCCAGAGCCCAACCTTGTGTGCACAGTGCCCGTGCAATGGATCGCCATAACATGCTCACTCATCCCCCCTCTCTTCCGTGCCTCTCCCCATTCTCTCCTCCTCACGCAGCTTCACCCGCACCATCCATAAACCGGCAGATGTGCCCAAGGACCATCCATAAGCCATGAGCATGCTTCCATATCATACCTCGTCCTCCTTTTCCCTTCGAATCCCCTTTTCTTTTGCCTGCCCTCCCCACACCGCCCCTTGCATGCCGCGCCCTCCTGCCGTGCCCTCCTGCCGCGCCCTCCTGCCGCGCCCTCCTGCCGCGCCCTCCTGCCGCGCCCTCCTGCCGCGCCCTCCTGCCGCGCCCCTTCACCTGAGTGTCACCCTCACCCTTGCCAGGCCAGCAGACCCCAGCCGCATGCCAACAGCACCCCACCCGACCAATGTGCCACTGCATGCCAACAGCACCCGACCTGACCAATGTGCCACTGCATGCCAACAGCACCCGACCAATGTGCCACTGCATGCCAACAGCACCCGACCTGACCAATGTGCCACTGCATGCCAACAGCACCCGACCCGACCAATGTGCCACTGCATGCCAACAGCACCCGGCCAATGTGCCACTGCATGCCAACAGCACCCGACCAATGTGCCACTGCATGCCAACAGCACCCGACCAATGTGCCACTGCATGCCAACAGCACCCGACCAATGTGCCACTGCATGCCAACAGCACCCGACCCGACCATTGTGCCACTGCATGCCAACAGCACCCGACCATTGTGCCACTGCATGCCAACAGCACCCGGCCAATGTGCCACTGCATGCCAACAGCACCCGACCAATGTGCCACTGCATGCCAACAGCACCCGACCTGACCAATGTGCCACTGCATGCCAACAGCACCCGGCCATTGTGCCACTGCATGCCAACAGCACCCGACCAATGTGCCACTGCATGCCAACAGCACCCGACCAATGTGCCACTGCATGCCAACAGCACCCGACCAATGTGCCACTGCATGCCAACAGCACCCGGCCATTGTGCCACTGCATGCCAACAGCACCCGACCAATGTGCCACTGCATGCCAACAGCACCCGACCAATGTGCCACTGCATGCCAACAGCACCCGACCAATGTGCCACTGCATGCCAACAGCACCCGACCAATGTGCCACTGCATGCCAACAGCACCCAACCATTGTGCCACTGCATGCCAACAGCACCCGACCAATGTGCCACTGCATGCCAACAGCACCCGACCAATGTGCCACTGCATGCCAACAGCACCCGGCCATTGTGCCACTGCATGCCAACAGCACCCGACCAATGTGCCACTGCATGCCTACAGCACCCGACCAATGTGCCACTGCATGCCAACAGCACCCGACCTGACCAATGTGCCACTGCATGCCAACAGCACCCGGCCATTGTGCCACTGCATGCCAACAGCACCCGACCAATGTGCCACTGCATGCCAACAGCACCCGACCAATGTGCCACTGCATGCCAACAGCACCCGACCAATGTGCCACTGCATGCCAACAGCACCCGACCAATGTGCCACTGCATGCCAACAGCACCCGACCTGACCAATGTGCCACTGCATGCCAACAGCACCCGGCCATTGTGCCACTGCATGCCAACAGCACCCGACCAATGTGCCACTGCATGCCAACAGCACCCGACCAATGTGCCACTGCATGCCAACAGCACCCGACCATTGTGCCACTGCATGCCAACAGCACCCGGCCAATGTGCCACTGCATGCCAACAGCACCCGACCAATGTGCCACTGCATGCCAACAGCACCCGACCAATGTGCCACTGCATGCCAACAGCACCCGACCAATGTGCCACTGCATGCCAACAGCACCCGACCAATGTGCCACTGCATGCCAACAGCACCCGACCAATGTGCCACTGCATGCCAACAGCACCCGACCAATGTGCCACTGCATGCCAACAGCACCCGACCAATGTGCCACTGCATGCCAACAGCACCCGGCCATTGTGCCACTACATGCTAGTGGCAAGGCATGCATCCTCAAATCTCATCCTCACGCCGCCTCTTGCCTGCGTGTCCCGTCTTCCCCATGGCCTAACCACCCCCTCTCCCCCTGCGCTGCAGTTTCATCCTCACAGTGGACATGCCAGCAGCAGTGCGCATCGACCTCTTTGACGCCATGGCTGATATTGAGTACGTGCCCTCCACCCTGCCCTCTCTCCTCCACCAACCTAGTGTGCTATGGCTGTCCTGATCCATTGTGCTGACATCGAGTACAGTGCTTCCGATCGAACCCCTCGTAACAGCTTCCCTTGACCGTACTGCCCTCATTCCACCCTTCTGCCCTCATTCCACCCTTCTGCCCTCATTCCACCCTTCTGCCCTCCCTCCACTCTGCTGGCCCCATTCCTCCACCAAGCCAATGTGCTTCGGGTGTTCTGCTGCATCGCTTCTATGTCAATCAACTGTGCCTGGTTTATCCCCGCACCCACCTCACATGCTTCATTGCTCCCCTTTATGCCTGTACACCAACCTTTGGATCCTTTCTCTCCCGCACCAAACAGGCACCTGCTGACGTTCGCCACAGGTAACAAGGTTCAGCTGGGGGCAACATTAGACACCTCCCAGCCTCCTCCCGTGCTCCATGTGTCGCGCTCAATCTCTCTCCCTCCCTCCATGCCACGAGTGACAGGGTGCAGCTGGGGTCGGTAGCAAGCACCCCCCCAGTGTATTCCCATCCCATGCTCATCTCCTCCGCGCCCTCCCTCCCTCCCTCCCTCCAACCAGGTACCGTTTGACCTTTGCCACGAGTGAGAAGGCGCAGCTGGGGGCGCTGGTGGGGGCTTTCACGCACGCGCGCTCCAAGCTCGTGGAGGGCGCCAAATAACCTGGCAGGGAGCTCGTAGACTTTCTTTGACTTGGTTTGACCTGGGTCGCAGCTTGAGCCGCTCGTAGGGGCTGATTAAAGCTCAAGGCCCAAATTGCGCAAGGTTAGTAATCTTGCGCAAGGGTTTGGGCTGGTCAAGAAAGTGTTGGGAGGGTGGGGTTGACTTATTTCGCACGAGCTCTCGCAACAATCGCTGAGTCAGCAAACACCAAGGCAAACATTCTGTTTGGGTCCGAGAGTCCCAAATTGTGTAATACTGAAAGTTGAAGTTTCTGCAGGGAGATTGGCCTCGACCAATCAGATTCATTCGCACCTACCGTAACCCAACATTCGCCAAACCACAGCACCAAAACAACAGCTGTGCAAGATTAGTAATCTTGCTCAGGGCGGCCCGCAATTTGGGCCTTGAGCTTTAAACACGCCCGCACCAAGCTCTGGATGTCTCAATTTACGCCATCTGGTCCAAACAGACCACAAAACCAGCCAGAGCGAATATGCTTGTCACGGTCATACCGTAACTTGGTCGAATGCTGAAAATGGTCACCAAGAAATTGCTGAATTCACAACCGAATTCTAGGGTAGAAAAGAACGGAACACAAAGGAAAGCGGTTGTGTTCGTGCATCTTGCAACGGTGTTGGCAAAATAATATTTATGCACTTGTGCTTGCCAGCAGCATGTCCCAAGCAGGGCCCAAAATTGGTTTTAGCTCACTCTTTCAAATCAGGGTGGCATCCCCTCCGTACCCTGACTGGTAGGGTAAAATTTCTAGTACACTGATTGTAGCAGTCTAAAAGTTTTGGTACACTGATTTTGGCAGGGTAATATATGTCGTACAATGTTTCCTTCCTAAGCATAAGATTGTACTACTACAACAGTTACCCCTCGGGAATCACAAAGCCCAAGGCGCCTCAGGCAGCAAGGTTCCATCGCTGGTAGGGAACTGCATGGCAGTGGCTGCAAGGCCACAGTGACTGCTAGGTGGTGGAAACGACAGCACGTACCCCACCTGGCGCGCAATTTGGCTCCGTTGGCAGTGCGCGATATTGCGTGACGCACGGAAACTGGGTGCGTTGGCTTCAATGTTGCTCAACGGACCAATCGTAGGTGTGCGGTGCCATCCGCCCTGAATGTACGTTGGCGCGCCAGTGGGTGTATCCAACAAATGGTCCAGTGGGACCGTGGAGCATTTCGTCGTGGCGCGGACTGTGGCGGAATCCGCGGTACGGAAAATTTCCGGTAAAAGGGTAGTTGAACCCCTACCCTGATACAGTCAGTGTAACTCGAAAAGCTACAAGAGTACTTTTAAGCGTATTCTGATTGCACAAGGGTAAAAATCTGCATACCCTGATTTGAAAAGGGTAACTGCCAAAAAGTGGCCTATGAGCAGGGCAAAAAGGGTAAAATACCCTTGAAATTTGGGCCCTGGTCCCAAGTACTTCTATATGCAGTTGAAATCTAATCGAAATCCGCCACCAACGTTCGTCAGATGATGGGTGGGTCTAGGGTGGATGCGGTTGGGGCTGAAGCTAGGGCATCACATATATATACAGTTTTTCTGCAAATGTTGTGAGAACAAACTGTGGACGATGTTATAGGTAATAGAATCTTCTTGCTACAGATGAAATCAATTCACTGACGGGTATAGTTTGCAAACCAGCTCCAAGCCAGACCCAACACCTTAAGACCCAACTCCACCCTTCGAAATGCTAAACGAAACGTTGCAGAACGAACTGCAAAATACAGCACACCTTAGAGTCCCTACCGCCTAGACCGCGCAAGGCAGGTTGAAGCGCGGTGAAAGCTTATCCCCGGAGCAGAACCTGGGCTTGGGCGGGAAGACACACCAGAGCTGTGCGCAATCCCGAACCAAGCAAGGTTACCTGAGCGAGGTGCGGCAAACAGAGAGTTCCTCACCGCACCTGAGTTCCTCGCCGCGTCCAGCGGCGAATTGTTTCCTGCGCGACAAAAGGCGACACACTGAACCAAACTGAAGCGCCCAAGACGAGGCCAACACCTGCGTCGGGGCGCGAATGCATTGACCACCACCACATGCTCAAATCCCAGCATTGTGATTGAGGCCGCAACCACCCCTCTCCATTCTAAACAAAAGTCGAGCACACCTGAGCTGAACACATTCAATTGAGTTTCGTCGGATGGTTTCTGCGAGTGCCTGTCACCGCCTGAAATGGCACCTGGCAGTCGGCGCGCCTCCGTACGAGGGAATTATCCGACAACAAATGGGGGAATGAGGGAGCAAATGCAACAGAGCGGAAAGGACTAGGAGAACCAAACGCAGACGGGGCAGCGAAAGCGAGGCGAGGGAAAGGCTCACCTTGCGTAATCCCGCACTCGCCCGTCGTCCATGCATATAAGACGTGAGGCTGTAAGTTGCCAAGGATCTCACGCTCCCATCGTTAGCCTTTGCTCCTAGCTCAATCCTTAGTAGTACGGCCGCCGGTTAGACTCACATTTAATCCCGTAGGCTCGATCCCCAGAAGTGCGACTATCTTTCCATCCTCCTCCCAATGACGCTATTCCCAAGAGCTGGACTTGCATTTTCAGCCATGGCCCAGACGACATCACACTCTCGCTCGCCGGCGCTCAACGTGACGCTCCTCGCCGTCGTCATCGTCGCCGGTGAGCCCACCTCCTATGCGCCCACCGCTCCTGCTATGCGCCGCTCCTTGTCGCCTCCGAGGCGAGGCGCGCGCCTCATGCTCGACCCGCGGCGCGCGTGTATTCGAGCGCCTAGCTTGAAGTTATACACTGAGTGTATTCGCCATGCGCGCGCCCACTCGCGGACCTGCCCAGGTCGCGCTTTCATCGCCCTTCGCCTCCACACCTCGCTCAACGGCGGGGCTAGCCCAAACGCCAAGTTCAGCATTGATGTTAACATGTAAGTGTACCTTGATCACATGATGAATAACCGCTGAGCCTCACTCCAGCTCCCACACAGTCAACGCCTCCCAGTGCTCTCTATTGCCCACTGCAGCTCGTTCACTGAAGGTGTTTGCCATGAATTTGCTCGTTTGCACCCATTCCGTCCAAACCTGTCGCCAACCCCTGCGTCTCTCCCCTGCATCTCTCCTTTGCGTCTCACCCCTGTGCGTCACCCCTCCCATGCGCAGCACGGCGACGGAGCAAAGGCCGCTCTTCGCCTTCTTCGTGACAGCGGTGCCGGACAAGCCAGCGCCGGTCTTCTCCAAGCCGGGCTACTACACCAGCGCGGGCAAGCTCGTGCTGGACTTCGACTGCATTCCCACGGCCACCAAAGCGGCCACTACCTATTTCTGCAGTTTAGCGGCAACCGCGAAAATCACTAAGCCGTACAAGCCAGTGGCCAAGACCAAGACGCTCGTGGATGCGGGGCTGTTCGACAATCCCAAGGGCTTCCGCGGCGATCAAAGTGAATGGTGCAGAACTGCGCGGAGATATCAACGCCACAGTTTCTAACCTGTGATTGACTGAGCCTTGTTGAGTTAGTGATTGAAGTAAGCACTTGAAGGCTGTAGAATGTACACTATTGAATTTCCCGGCCATCACTCTGCACCCTCTCTAAGCCCGTTCGCTGTAAGCCCATCACACATGCGCTCACCACTCACTGCCATCTACCGTACCTGTGAGCCCTCCGCCATGGCATTTGGCACTGCATGGCTGCCTCCATGAGCCAGCTCAGTGGCCAATCAGGTGACAGTTTAGTTGAATCGGAGACACCTCACCTCACTACTTCCATCCACCATTGCCTATGCACGCTGCCCTGCGCCATCGTTGCTTCTGTGCCCTGCCAGTCCGACCGTAGCACACTGACCAGCAGCAGTCGAAGAACCTTTCTAACCAGCAGCGAGCAGGAGTGCGCCGCACATGGGCAGCGGCAGGCAGGACGAGGTTGCATCCCTCCAGGGGTGGCAGATGGTTGGGCAAGTTTGTGCTCAATGTGGTGAGGCGAGTGAGCGAAGGGGGTGTTTGATCTTCTGATTATATCAACGCTTTGACCCAAAAGCGAATATGACAGTACAATGAATGGCGCAGGCAGCGGGCTAATCTAGCCAGACAATTTCCTTACAAAAGGCTACTAATTGTGGTTATTATTTCCCCACGCAGTTCTGTGCCGTTCACATTGATTGCCGCATAGAAGCCCTTGGGATTGGAGAAGAGTCCCGCATCCACAAGCACCTTGAACCTGTTGCCTGGCGTGTTCATGTCGGAGAGATTCACGACTTGCTTCGCACTGCAGAAATAAGCACCCGGCGTGCTGGTGGCCGTGGGCGCGCATGCGAATTCCACCACGAGCTGGCCTGCGCTGGTGTAGTAGCTGACATTAGAGAAGACTGGCGCTGGGTCGTCTGGCACGCCCGTGATGGACAAGGTGAAGAGCGACCTTTGCGTCGACAACGTGCTGCGCATGGATGGGTTAAAGTGCAGAAGCATGGGAGGGTTGAAGCACAGGGGTGAGATGCAGGGGTGAGATGCAGGGGTGAGATGCAGGGGTGAGATGCAGGGGTGAGATGCAGGGGTGAGATGCAGGGGTGAGGTGCAGGGGCTTGCGAGTTTGGGACAAAAGAGTGCACACTTAGTCTACGCGCTGCTGCAGCAGGGAAATGAACAGTGGGAGGCGCTAATTGTGTAGGAGCTGGAGTGCGACCCACCAGCATCCACGCAAGGTGGTACTGTGCACTGCACGTACATGTTGGTATCGAAGATGCACTTGGCGCTCGTGTCGCCATGCGTATTGAGGTCGGAGGAAGCTTGGTCTGCGATGCACACATGAGGAAACACTCAACGGATTCAGCGACGATTCTGAGGGAGCAGGAGCGATGAACGCAGGCAACGAGTGAAGAATGGGCTTTCAGAAAGCGGTACTACACAGCAGGGGAAAGGGTACGCTGGTGATTCTGCGTTCAGTGAGCAGAGCATGTGCATGAGCTCACATCTCGTGAGCCCCTTGATGACAGTGGTGCTGCTCGTCCCTCCGCTGCTCCCAGTGCTGCCTCCGCTCGCGCTTCCCCCGCTGCTCGTCCCGCCGCTGCTACCGGTGCTGTTTCCTGTCGCGCTCCCTCCGCTGCTCGTTCCTCCGCTGTTCCCAGTGCTGCCGCCACTCACGCTCCCCCCGCTGGGGGTGCTTGTCCCACCAGCGCCGGTGGTGGTGACGGCGCCGCCAGTGCTTATAACGGAGCCATCAGGGCCGTACGTGGTGCTGTTGCTCACAGTGGTGCTCTTGGTGGTGCTCGTTGTGATTCGTCGTTACAGTCACAATGCTGCCAGTCCCCTCCCGCAGCAAGCGGCGCTTGCCGGCGGTTGTGGAGCAGAGGGAAAGTGAGAGCAGCGCTGCACCCGCAAACGACGGGGGTGTGCCAGCAAAGCCGGGGGGGGGGGGAAGGAAAGATAATTGCGGTGAGGCAAATTGCTGCGCGGAAAGGCGGGGAGCCTCCCCGGGTTCATGCCGAGGGACAAAGAGGAGCGGAGACAACAGGGATGGAAGCGCCGCGATGTGGCCAGATCCGTGTGTGGGAGCGCGCATGGCGAATTCACTCAGTGTATAACTTGGTAACTCGCGCGATACATTCGCCGGAACGCAGGAGGCAACACGGCAGAGGAGGCGCGAAGCGGCGATACTAGGAGCGGTGGGCTCACCAACAGCGATGACGACGGCGAGGAGCGACACGACGAGGGCCGGCGAGTGTGAGAGTGGCGTCGCCTGTGCCATGATGGCTGGAGATCCGCGCGACTCGCGTGAGTAGTACCGTTGGGTGGAGAATGGATGACGGTCGCACTACAAGGGATGGAGCTAGTACGTGTTTAGCTAGCTGCTAGGTCAGCACCGTGGTCGCACTATTACTAGGGATTGAGCTAATCGGAGCAAATTCATTCGGTGGGAGCGCGAGAGCCATAGCAATCTCTCGCGCAAGGTGAGCTTTTCCCTCGCTTCGCTTTCACTCCCCTGCCCGCGCTTTCAGGTGCTCGTATCCTCCGCACTACTACTTATCGCTTCCGCATCGTCGGATTATTCCGTCGTGCGCAGGCCCGCCGACTGCCAGGTCCCATTTCAGGAGGTGACTGGCAGTCGTGGAAGTCACTCGGCAGAACGTGATTGAACGGGTTCAGGTGTGCTCGACTTCGATCCGCAACGGCGAAATGTCGAGCAATCGATGCGATGCAGTGGCACACTGGCGCCCCGACGCTGCACTCCGTCGCCTGTTGTCGCGCAGGTAACAAAGTTCGCCGCCGGACGCGGTGAAGCGTTCCTCAGGTGCGGGAACAACTGCCTGCCGTACCTCACTCAGGTAACGTTGCTAGGTTCGGGATTGTGCGCCATTGTGGTGTGGTGTGGTCTCACCTTCCCGCCCAAGCCTAGCCCATCGGGGACCTGCACTAGCTTTGTGCGGGCTGACGGTGAGTAGCAAGGAACATCCCACGGGGTGCTGTTTTTTGCAGTTCGGTCTGCAACGTTCGTTTGGCATTTACAATCGGTGGAATTGGGTATTGAGGAAAGTGCAGTTTTAGGGGTCCCTTTAGGCGTAAGGCTACCATAGCGAGCGAATCGTAGCCGTCAATGAGCCTATACTCCGATATGTGTAACAAGAGAATCCTCTCTCTATAAGACTGTCTACAATGAATACTCTCTTTTTCGGTTACGTAACAACCCTACCTATATAACTGGTTTCAGATTTCAAACATATCTTTGCAGAATTAGTTTAACACGTGGTATTTGGAAACCCATGTAAGAATTCGGTTTGAGTGATTAAACTTATCAAACGGATTGTTTACTTATCGCTTTTCTTTAAGCGAAGTATTGTCGAAGTGTTTCTTCCTTCTGTTTTGCTATGTTTTGGCTGAAAGGTGTTCGTGCTTTGCGCAGAGTTGTTCCCTTCAGTTGCGCAGATCCCCGTGGGCGGGAAAGCACAGCCCAGCGGCGCGCAACCCCGAAGCCAGGAGGGTTATCTGAGCGAGAGGCGGCAAGCGGACCTCCATTCCCCACCTGAGCAACACCCCAAATGTCAATGGCAGCTTCATTCACAGCTGCAACTTCTTCCTCCTAAGCACTGGTGGCGTACGGTAGAGGGGATTGAGCATGGCTGGAAAATTCTTATGGCGCTTCCTAGTGTTTCGCCAATCACAGGCTATCAACAGTGGCGATGATTGGCCCACGCAATTCTGCGCCATTCACTTTGACAGCTGCATAAAACCCCTTGGGATTGGCGAACAGCCCTGAATCCACGAGCGCCTTGAACTTGTCGTCCTGGTTCAGCACGGCGAGATTCACAACTTGCTCCCCACGGCAGAAATAAGTCCCCGCCATGCTCGTGGCCTTGAACACGCACGCGAATTCCACCGCGAGCTTGCCTGCGCTGGTGTAATAGCCAGGGTTGGAGAAGACCGGCGCTGGGTTTTCTGGCGCGCCCGTGATGTAGAACGTGAAACGCGACCTTTGCTCCGACGCCGTGCTGCGCGTGGGAGGGGCAAGGCACAGGGGTCAGATGCAGAGTTTGCGACAGGTCTGGGGCAGGTTTGCAGGGCGCAATCACAAATTCATGTCACACACATTTGTCTACAAGCTGCAGTCGGGAATCGAGCAACTGGAGCCGTTGATTGTGTTGGAGCTGGAGTGAGACCCAACATCGATGTAGGATGAGAGCACCCAATGTTTATGTAACGTGTCACTGTGCACTTACATGTTAATATCAACGTAAAAGTTGGCGTTCGGGTCGGCATACGGATTGAGATATGACGTAGCTTGGTCTGCGGTGCACACAAGAGGATAGACTCAGCGGATTGAGCGACAATTCTGAGGCAGCAGACGCGATGAACGGACGCAGCGTGTGAAGAGTGGGCTTTCATCAGACAAGGATACTACGCAGTAGGAGCAGAGGAACGTTGGTGATTGTGAGAGCAGTGATACTTGTGCATGAGCTCACATCTCGAGGGCCTGTTGATGGCAGTGCTGCTGCTCGTCCCTCCGCTGCTCCCAGTGCTGCCCCCACTCGCGCTCCCTCCGCTGCTCGTTGTGTCGCTGCTCCCAGTGATATTTCCACTTGCGCTCCCGCCGCTGCTCCCAGTGCTGCCCCCACTCGCGCTCCCTCCGCTGCTCGTTGTGTCGCTGCTCCCAGTGATATTTCCACTTGCGCTCCCGCCGCTGCTCCCAGTGCTGCCCCCACTCGCGCTCGCTCCGCTACTCCCAGTGCTGCCCCCACTCGCGCTCCCTCCGCTGCTCGTCCCTCCACTGCTCCCGGTGCTATTTCCCCCGCCGCTGCTCCCAGTGCTTCCCCCACTCGCGCTACCTCCGCTGCTCCCAGTGCTGCCCCCCACTCGCGCTCCCTCCGCTGCTCGTCCCGCCGCTGCTCCCAGTGCTACCGCCACTCGCGCTCCTCCCGCTGGGGTTGCTTGTGGTCCCACCGGCGCCGGTGGTGGTGGTGACGGCGCCGCCAGTGCTTATAACGGAGCCATCAGGGCCGTACGTGGTGCTGTTGCTCACAGTGGTGCTCTTGGTGGTGCTCGTTGTGGTCGTCGTCGTTACAGTCACAATGCTGCCAGTCCCCTCCCGCAGCACGCGGCGCGTGCCGGCGGGTGTGGCGCAGAGGGAAAGTGAGAGCAGCGCTGCACACGCAAACGACGGGGGTGTACGGCAAAGCGTGGGGGAAAAAGGTAACCGCGGTGAGGTGAATGGCTGCGCGGAAGGCGGGGGGGTTCACGCGGAGGGGCAGCGGGGTGCGGAGGCATGGAAGCGCGATGTGGGCAGGTCCGCGTGTGGGTGCGCGCATGGCGAAAACACTCAGTGTGCTAAAACTTGCAGACACGCTCGATTCTTTCACCGCGGATCGAGCATGAGGCGGGCGCGGAGGCGACATGGCAGAGGAGGCGCGAAGCGGCGCATAGGAGCAGAGAGCTCACCAACGGCGATGACGACGGCGAGGGCAAGCGAGCGCGAGATCGACGCCGTCTGTGCCATGGCTGGAGGAACCTCGCGACGCTTGAGTACGCAAGTCGAGCTCTTGGGAATATCGATAAGTGGAGGATGGATGACGGTCGCACTGCTGAAGGCAAGTGTTAGCTAGCTGCTAGATCTGCACCGGCGGCCGCACATTTAGGGATTGAGCTAATCGTAGCAAATGCTAACGATGGGAGCGCGAGACCCATAGCAGCCTCTCTTATAGCGGCAGGGACAACGGGAGAGCGTCGGACTACGCAAAGGGAGCCTTTCACTGCCAGTGGCTTTGCTTTCACTCCCGTCCGCGGTTTCAGGTGCTCTTAGTCGTTTCCGCGCTACTACTTGTTGCTTCTGCATTGTCAATTTCCCTCGTACGCATCCCGCCGACTATCAGGTCCAATTCAGGCGCCGCCTGAACGGGATTGAATGGGTTGTGAGGGGGCACTAGGCGGAACGGGATTGAACGGGTTCAGGTGTGCCCAGCTTCCGTTTGCAGGCGAAGAGTGCGGCAGTATTGCGGCATCCTCACACTGACAGGAATTGAGCATGTGGTAGCGATTCATGCAATGGCGCCCCGACTCAGGTGTTGGCGCCGCCTTGCGTTCACTATGTCGCCTGTTGTCGCGCAGGTAATAAAGTTCGCCGCCGGACGCGGTGGGCCATTGCTCAGGTGAAATGAGGAACCCTCTGGCTCCCGCGCCTCGCTCAGATAACCCTGCTTGGTTCGTGATTACGCACCGTTTTGGTTTGGTGTGCCTAGCCATCGGGGGTCTGCACGAGCTAAGCGTGGGCTTGGCGATGAATCGCAACATCATCCAGTTCGTTCTGCAACGTCTTGTTTGGCATTTGCGACGGCTGGTTGGGGTTTGGGTTACCGCAGAAGCCGGTCAGCCGCAAGCCCCGCTTCCACCGAACCGAAAATGGTTCTTCACCGAGGCATGGCTCCCAGCTGGTTCGAGAATCATACCCGTGACCCGATTATGTGAAACAATCAATTCCTTCTCACAACATTGAAACACTTGCAAAAGCAATGTATACAACAGGAAAAAAAACAACCTGGAAATTGGTACACGATGGAATTTAGCAGCTCCTGTTCAATCCGATTCTCGCATAGACACTCGGCCGCCATGGCAACGCCATTCAGCGCGCTTGTGGAGTTCCACGGCTCTCGCGTTCTCCTCGACTGCCCATTAAACCCACTGCACAGCTTGCTGCATCCCCCCACCCCACCCGCGTGGTTATCCCATTCGCGAGATTCACCTAGAAAGCTCGACCGTTCGGCCGAGCGAGAGAATTCCACGGAGCCTCGGCCCGTCGACAAAAGCGCCGACTCTCGCTGCCGCTCTCCGCGCGCCTCGCAGCATTCGCCACGCGTGCCCGCCGACTCCGCTCGCCTCGATGCGCCTCGCGTCGCTCGCTGCTCGCCACTCCCGCATGCTAATTCCCTCGCTCCGATCGCCGCACCTGCTGCTGCTGCTGCCGCCGCAGCTGGAGCCTTCCATGACGCTACGACGGACCCCCCTGCAGCACTTGCTCTGGACCAGCCCGAACCTGCAGGTTTGGACCGAACCATATACCCAACAGTCGCACCTCGCGACCATCCCGGAGCAGCCGGCTCGGGCTCTTTCCTCCCGCCGGCCCTGGCGTTGCTGCGTCGGCATGGCTGCCGAGCCTCGAGGTCTGGTCTGGCGCACAGGCGCGAGGTTCGGTGGAGACGAAGGGTGTGCATGTGCTTGGCTGACCAGCAGACGGGCGGAGGCGGACAAAGGGGGGATGAGGAGGGGCGAGGCGAGGGGGCGGAGGGGGAGGAGGGGGAAAAGCGGAGAGAGGGTGGGAGCGTTGGCGGCGCAGAGGCGGAGGCGAGGGGAGGCAGAGCAGATTCAGTGTGTGGTGGGGCGATGAGAGGGCCACGCAGCCGTGTAGATGGCCATGGGGGCGGCAATGGGGGCGGCAATGGGGGCGGCAATGGGGGCGGCAATGGGGGCGGCAATGAGGGCGGCAATGGGGGCGGCAATGGGGGCGGCAATGGGAGCGGCAGTGGGGGCGGCAATGGGGGCGGCAGTGGGGGCAGCAGTGGGGGCGGCAGTGGGGGCGGCAATGGGGGCGGCAGTGGGGGCGGCAATGGGGGCGGCAGTGGGGGCGGCAATGGGGGCGGCAATGGGGGCGGCAGTGGGGGCGGCAATGGGGGCGGCAATGGGGTGGATGCGATGGGCGAGGGCAGGAAGAGGAGAGGTGATGGCGATGGTGTGGAGAGCGGTGGGAAGAGGCAGAGAGGGGATGGGAACGAGGAAAAATGCGGTGCACCATTCACTCCTACGCATGACCGTGCCATCAGCATCAACCACAGCTATGCCCCTCCCCACACCCACACCCACTCCCACGCCCGAGCATCCTCCTCGCCATGCCCTGCTGTGCGCATCTCCCTCCCCCTACCCTCCTCCATGCCAACCCCCCATCGCACTCTCGCCTTGCCATTCGCGCTCACTGCCACGTCAGCAGCATCTGACGTGGACGCCATCCTGATCTCGAGCCCCGAGGGCCTTCTGGGCCTGCCTGTGCTGCTGCGCCATCACCGCCTGCACCACACCCACCGCCCTCCCCCCAAGGTGTGCTAGGGTTCGGCACAAGCACTAAAAAAGACCAATCCAGAAAATGTAAAGTGCTGCATCTTCCTGTCATACCACATGGCGGTGAGTGCGGTGGAATGCATTTCCAGGATGAATGCAACTGAACACAGCGGCGTGGAGCAAGGCGGCGTGGTGGTACACCCCACTGTCGTGGTGCCACCACAACATGCGATGCGCCACGCTCCTCCATGTGCTTGTCCGGGCAGCGTCCACTCCACCATGCTTTTAATGCCTCTCCCTTGCCCCCTTTCCCCATTTTTGCCCTTTGACGGTATCGCCGCCCGCCTGTTGGCCCGTGCACTGCTCAGGTGGTGTGCACGGAGGCTGCTCTGCGCATCGCCAGGCTGGCGCGTTGACCCCCTGCCCACTTGCCCCTCATTCCCTCGCTTCTCTTCGCCCGTTGGCCCTGTGTGCCTGCAGGTGCTGTGCACGGAGGCTGCACTGCGCATTGCCAGGCTGGCGGCTAAGGAGAGGGCAGCACTGGTGCAGGGGAGGGGCGTGCTGGAGGAGGGTGCACACGAAGCCCCTTCATCCCTGAGGTGAGCCCTGCTGTCTCGCTGCTGCTGCTGTCATGCCCGTGCTCCCATGCTCGCCGCCACTCCTCCCATGCTCGCTACACCTGCCATGCTCGCTACACCTGCCATGCTCGCTACACCTGCCATGCTCGCTACACCTCCCATGCTCGCTACACCTCCCATGCTCGCTACACCTGCCATGCTCGCTACACCTGCCATGCTCGCTACACCTGCCATGCTCGCTACACCTGCCATGCTCGCTACACCTCCCATGCTCGCTACACCTCCCATGCTCGCTACACCTGCCATGCTCGCTACACCTGCCATGCTCGCTACACCTGCCATGCTCGCTACACCTCCCATGCTCGCTACACCTGCCATGCTCGCTACACCTCCCATGCTCGCTACACCTGCCATGCTCGCTACACCTCCCATGCTCGCTACACCTGCCATGCTCGCTACACCTCCCATGCTCGCTACACCTGCCATGCCCGCTACACCTCCCATGCTCGCTACACCTGCCATGCTCGCTACACCTCCCATGCTCGCTACACCTCCCGTGCTCGCTACACCTGCCATGCTCGCTACACCTCCCATGCTCGCTACACCTCCCATGCTCGCTACACCTCCCATGCTCGCTACACCTCCCATGCTCGCTACACCTGCCATGCTCGCTACACCTCCCATGCTCGCTACACCTGCCATGCTCGCTACACCTCCCATGCTCGCTACACCTCCCATGCTCGCTACACCTGCCATGCTCGCTACACCTGCCATGCTCGCTACACCTCCCATGCTCGCTACACCTGCCATGCATGCCGCACTGCAGGGCATGGTATACACCACCGCCCGCCCGTCTCCATTTCACCTCATGCAGCATGGCCCGTTGCTTTGCTTTCCCTCCTGCCTCCCTCATTTTTTTCACAGCCGCTTTATCAAGCGTTGCACAAGCACAGCCCAGCTTACCCAACTGCACACGTGCTAATGGATACACGTCTGCCTGCGCCTGCCACTCAGGCACGTGCCTCACGGCAGGGGTTGTGATTTGCTCGCCTCCCTGCCATCACCATCCTGATGCGTTCACTATCAGCTCCCCCTCAAACGCCTTCTCTTCTCTCCACCTCTCTCCTCTCCCCTCCATCGTCCTGCTCCTTCTCTCCCCCCTCTTCCTGCCGACCCTTCTCCTACCCCCCAATCCCACCCTCCGCTCATTCATGTTAACAGCGAGAGTGAGGAGCTGGCATCACTAGCGTGTGTGAGGGGGGTGAGGTGGGGGGAGAGGGTGGGTGTGGGGCCGGGCGTCACAGCCACTGCAGCTGCATCGGGAGGTCCTCTTGGCTCTGCCTACTGGTCGCTCCTTCACTCCGCCCACTCGCCCTCCCACCCCACCCACCCCTCCCACCCCTTCCAAACCTCCCACTCGCATACCTCTCTCCCTGCCTCATACCCGTCCTCTCAAGAACCCCCCTCATCCCTCTCACATCCCTCTACCGGCGCCTCTGCCGCTCCCCTCGCCTCTAGCTCCGTCCCTTCAGCCTCTCCCCCTCCCATCTGCTGCCACCTTGCCCTCCTCTTCCCGCCGCTGCCCTACGCCACTGTCGCTGCTCCACCGCAGCTGGAGCCAATAAGAGCTTGCCACGTGGCAGCTCTGTGTGGGCCCACGTCAATCAGCTCTGCTGACAGCCACACACGGACAGCAGACAGCAGGGAGGGGAGGAAGCCAAGGGTGGGCGATGCAGATGAGAGGAAGGGGCATGGGGGCAAGAGGGCGGGGGGTGGGGGAAGCAGGGACGACGAGGCAGGAATGCAGGGCGGATGGAAGGGCAGAGTTGGCAGGATGGGGAGTGAGCCGCTGTGTGAGTCGCGTGGGTATGTGAGTGATATGGCTGGGAGGCATGGGACGGGAAGAGCTGAAGCAGCGTGCAGCGATAGACGGGATAGTGCGAGGGAGGGGAGAGGAGGGGCGAGTGCAGGGAATGAGGTGGATGGTGCGGGGTGCAGTGCGGTGTGTGAGGGCATTGAAGGCGTTGTGCGGGTGATTGCAGGGCGGGTGGCGCAGGGAGGGCGAGTGGTGGTGCCGTGCTCCCCGCTGGGCCCCTCCCTGGACCTCTTGCTCGCCCTGCTCGAGCCCTCCCAATCATCACCACCTCCGCCGCTGCCATCAGCAGCAGCAGCGGCACCACCCGCAGTGGGCGTGGGCGTGGGCGTGGGAGTGGGAGTGCCGGTGGTGTACCTGTCCCCAGTGGCCAAGCAGGCGCTCTCCCTCGCATGCATCCTGCCGGAGTGGATGCACCCCCGTGTGCATGATAGAGTGGGTGTATGTGTGCGTGTGAGGGTGTGTATAGATGCATGTTTGTGTGTTGGTGTCTGTGGTATGTGTGTTGATATGTGTGTGTGCACAAATATATGTCTGCATGTGCGGGAGTGCTTGTGCATAGGAGCTCGCCTTATTCTGCCACACGTCCTTCTGCCCTCACTTCCCTGTGCTCACACGACCCTTTACCACAGCTGCCATCTGTGCCTTGTAACAACCACAGCTGCCATCTGTGCCTTGTAACAACCACAGCTGCCATCTGTGCCTTGTAACAACCACAGCTGCCATCTGTGCCTTGTAACAACCACAGCTGCCATCTGTGCCTTGTAACAACCACAGCTGCCATCTGTGCCTTGTAACAACCACAGCTGCCATCTGTGCCTTGTAACAACCACAGCTGCCATCTGTGCCTTGTAACAACCACAGCTGCCATCTGTGCCTTGTAACAACCACAGCTGCCATCTGTGCCTTGTAACAACCACAGCTGCCCTTTGTCTCTCTCTCCTTCCCTCTCTTCCTTTCTCGCTCCCTCTCTCCTCCCACCCGCAGCTCTTCTCAGGTGAGCCCATCCACGCCATCAGCAGTGCGCTCCTCTCCCACCCCTCCACCAACCACAACACCAAACCACTTTCCTCCCCTGCTCACGCACGTGCTGGCGTCAGCACGGGTGTGCGCATGGTGGAGCTGCCAGGAGCCGTGGTGTTCCTGCCGCCAGCCTGCCCGCCCACCATGCTGCACAGCGAGGAGCGGTGGGACAAGGTAGCCCGTGGGAGGCCCAAAGCACCGAGGAGGCCACAGGGCTGTCCGTGGAACCACGACTTGTGGTGAGCTCTCTCCTCCCCCTCATCCTCCCCCTCATCCTCCCCCTCATCCTCCCCCTCATCCTCCCCCTCATCCTCCCCCTCATCCCTCTCCTCCCGCTCCTCCCCTTCCTCCCTCTCTTCCCTCTACTCCCTCTCTCCGCACTCCCTCCTCTCCTCCCTCCTCTCCTCCCTCTCCTCCTTCTCAGACTCGCACCAACGAGCTCTACTCACCAACGAGCTCTACTCACCAACGAGCTCTACTCACCAACGAGCTCTACTCACCAACGAGCTCTACTCACCACCCACCCCCACCAACCCTCTTTCGTCACCTTCATTTTTTTCACCTGATCACCATTCCGACCTTCCAGGAACCTTCTCCAGGGCCCGTGCATTGTGTTTGCCGCCCACTCCTCACTGCGTGTGGGCCCGGCAGTGGATCTGATTCACCTGTGGGGCGGCGATAGCCGTGCTCTTCTGCTGCTGCTGGAGGTACACTCCTATTGTGGGGTGGAGCGTCAGTGGGTGTGGATTTGCGGCATTGGGTGTTGAGTGCGCCGAACTCTCACCAGCACAGCCTGCTGTCGAACTCTCACCAGCACAGCCTGCTGTCGAACTCTCACCAGCACAGCCTGCTGTCGAACTCTCACCAGCACAGCCTGCTGTCGAACTCTTACCAGCACAGCCTGCTGTCGAACTCTCACCAGCACAGCCTGCTGTCGAACTCTCACCAGCACAGCCTGCTGTCGAACTCTCACCAGCACAGCCTGCTGTCGAACTCTCACCAGCACAGCCTGCTGTCGAACTCTCACCAGCACAGCCTGCTGTCGAACTCTCACCAGCACAGCCTGCTGTCGAACTCTCACCAGCACAGCCTGCTGTCGAACTCTCACCAGCACAGCCTGCTGTCGAACTCTCACCAGCACAGCCTGCTGTCGCTCACTCATTGCACACCTTCCTTGCACACCTTCCTTGCACACCTTCCTTGCACACCTTCCTTGCACACCTTCCTTGCACACCTTCCTTGCACACCTTCCTTGCACACCTTCCTTGCACACCTTCCTTGCACACCTTCCTTGCACACCTTCCTTGCACACCTTCCTTGCACACCTTGCTTCTTCGCCTCGCTTCGTGCTCTCCATGCCCCTTCGTCCTTGATATGCTTCCTCCTCCCAACCTTCTCTCCGTGGCCCTTCTCCCCCGCAGACTCATCCGGAGGACGTGCCAATCACCATCTCGCCCTTTCAGCCGCTCGCCATGCGCGTTGCCACGTGCTGCCTGCTACCCTCGCACAGGTGCTGTGTGTCTCAGTCCCTATTCTTGTTCCATCTGATCAGCACATTCCACAGCTTCCCTGAACCCACTGCTCTCGTGTCCCACTCCCGTTCCCCCTCCCCCTTTCCCCCTCCCACTGCCCTCATGTATCTACCTAGTTGCTCGTCCCACTGCCCTCATGTATCTCCCTAGTTGCTCGTCCCACTGCCCTCATGTATCTCCCTAGTTGCTCGTCCCACTGCCCTCATGTATCTCCCTAGTTGCTCGTCCCACTGCCCTCATGTATCTCCCTAGTTGCTCGTCCCACTGCCCTCATGTATCTCCCTAGTTGCTCGTCCCACTGCCCTCATGTATCTCCCTAGTTGCTCGTCCCACTGCCGTCATGTATCTCCCTAGTTGCTCGTCCCACTGCCCTCATGTATCTCCCTAGTTGCTCGTCCCACTGCCCTCATGTATCTCCCTAGTTGCTCGTCCCACTGCCGTCATGTATCTCCCTAGTTGCTCGTCCCACTGCCCTCATGTATCTCCCTAGTTGCTCGTCCCACTGCCCTCATGTATCTCCCTAGTTGCTCGTTCCACTGTCCCAGCGCTGCTGCCGCGGCCCACAAGCCTCAGGGTGCCGCAGCAGCAGGGCGCACACCCGTCGCATCAACTGGGGCAGGCAAGGTGGTGCGTGCAGGGCACGGGGGAGACGTGGAGGATGGGGAGGGAGCAGCGGGGGATGGCAGAGGAAGCGTCGTGGGGGGCGGATCAGGCAGCGTGGGGGGTCTCCTCTGCAGCATGCCGCAGCTGCAGCACGTCATGGTGAGCCCTGTGCCGCTCTGTACTGGGTTCTTCTGCCATGGGCCTCTGCTGCATGCTGGGTGGGAGCTCCCTCTTTACCTGCTCGTGACTTCTTCTTCCACTCCCCCCTTTGCCCCTCTCCTTCCTCTCTGCCCCTCGCCTTCCTCTCTGCCCCTCTCCTTCCTCTGCGTCTGCCCTTCGCTTTCCTCTCCGCCCCTCGCCCCCACAGGTTCCAGAGACCCTCCAAGCGCACCTGGCTGCAAGTCTCCCTGCATGCATCGCTCTGCAGCCTCTCAGCACCACCAACTGCCACCATCCATATTGATCCCCATTCTCCCATCACGCCCAATGTCATGCGCTCATCCATCTGTGAGCACACTGCCATCCATCTGTGAGCACACTGCCATCCATCTGTGAGCCCACTGCCATCCATCTGTGAGCCCACTGCGGCGCCCCTTGGCACATCTGCAACGCTGCCTACATCAGCCTGGGTAGATTCTGGCAACCTTTCACACGAAGCTCGAACGAGGCTCCATTTGGAAAAAAAGTGTTGTGAGCCTGAGGTTCTTTCTTATCTGGCTGTATCCAGGTGCATTGCATTGCTCCACACGGCATTGCACTGGACATGCAAAGCATGATCCCTGGAATGGAAGGTTATGGCAGACTCTCACAATGCGAAATTACATGGTATTTTTCTAGCATGATATAAATAATGAACACAAACCAGTATTGGAACTTACAGAATGCACCTATGACGGTTTAATGACATACACTATTGCTTCCCCAATAACAAGTGGAGATGATGTCACTGCGCAGCATCACGCAATTCACGCTGATCCTTGAGTACCGTCATCGCCCAGATAGTAGACATACCGTATATGTCTTTTCTCGTACACGGGCAAAAATGCTTGGGTTGTCTTGTATTTGGGACGGTTTAGGGTGTCTTATAAATCTTATAAATGGACAAAGAACCGTTTAGAAGATACCCCCTCGCTATACATTTGCCCCTAACCTCTACACTGGCTTATGTCAAAGGTCCACTAGAGATCCCCGATTGATCATAGGGAAGGGTTACAGGCACGTCGGCCTGGGGGGTTATGGGCGCACAGGGCTCTGGTTAGGTTTTGAACCACTCTTCCACGTAAGGCCAACACCCCGCATTCACTTTTTTCTGTAAGGGTATATCACAAGAACTAATTTTTCTGGTGAGGGTGCAAACATAATTACATATGCGTACAAATAATATACGTTTCCTATTCGGACCAGGTATTGGTGTTGTAGTCGGTTGTGGCGAGGAATTTTCTGCGAATCACCTGGGGTCGACACCTGACATGAGCAATTTTGAAGGGGAGTCAAGTTTACTCGAGTGATTATGCTATACTCCGTTAGATCTAACTCAATATCATCAGTGTTACTACACCACCTAGCTCTGAAATATCAGTGTAGTATAACCGAACACTTTTTCTTGTAAGGGTAAAAAAAACGACCACTCTGATAAAAAAGGGTGCATATTCAAACCCAGCCTTATAGTAAGGGTCATAAGGGTGAATCACCCTGTTAACCAGAGGCCTGTGGGCGCACTCACCCGCTACACAAACAAGTCCTTTTATCCCAGTGGTTAGTGGCTGAGATTCTGACATGGTATCAGAGCGAAGGTCTCGGGTTCGTATCCCGGTGTATGCACCTCGGACATCCAAGTGCGGGGGGGTGTCAAAGGTCCACTGGAGATCCCCGATTGATCCTAGGGAAGGGTTACAGGCACGTCGGCCTGGGGGGTTATGGGCGCACTCACCCGCTACACAAACAAGCCCTTTTATCCCAGTGGTTAGTGGCTGGGATTCTGACAGCTTAACGCGTACACACAAATAGGTGTCTTATAATGAGGCTAGCCTGTTTATAAGAGACACACGAAAAGTGCCCTAGATATTGTTGGAAACAATAAGTCGCTAGAGCGCAGCGGAAGCTCTAGGAAGATAACGACGTCCCTACGGCGGGGCAATGGTCACTCAGACGTGCTGCGATCAGGAGTTGATCGTTGCCAGAATCTACTCGGAAAGGTTCGCACAGAGAAATGAATTTGGTGGGCCCTTGACCTCAATAGCAGAGTGAATGTAAAATGCTTGAGATGATTAAAACATGCAAATACAACGATATAAATAAGAGTACAGGGAAGGCGAAACGGCCTAGCTAGCCATGTACTCTAAGGGGTACATTCCCTTATTCAAATTCATTCCCAACCGTGCGGGGCGTAAAGTTACGAAAACTGTTCCCGCCAAAGCCATCCTGCCTGCAGCTGTCGATGCCATCTGCTCTGACGGTCCAGATGTGTTGTAACTGTCTGACGCTTCGACTCAATTCTTAACCGTCTGACTCTTCGCGTTCGTTCTCGATACTGCATGCTTCCTTAGCTGCGGTAAGGTGTGCACAGTAACATTCGGGTATTACTATTCGTAACACCCCCCTTCACTCCTGGCCGTAGCTCGACTTGACCTGCTTGACCACGCCGCTGAGTTTGGAGCAGTGCTGATACTGCTGGCGTGGCAGTCGCTTCGTGAGGAAGTAAGCTGCCATGTCACCGGTCAGGCAATAGGTCAAGTTGACCTTGCCCTTGTCTACTTCGTCCTTCACGAAGATGTCAGAGGTCCATTGGTGATCCCCGATTGATCCTAGGGAAGGGTTACAGGCACGTTGGCCTGGGGGGTTATGGGCGCACTCACCCGCTACACAAACAAGCCCTTTTATCCCAGTGGTTAGTGGCTGGGATTCTGACAGAAGAAATACCGCATCGCAATGTGCTTGGTGCGGTTGACGAAACCAGGTTTGTTCGCGATGCGGATCGCGCTCTGGTTGTCACAGTGAAGACGAAAGGTGGGCGAAGCCGGAATTTTCGCCTCCTGTAGAAGTTCCTGTAAGTAAAGTTCTTCGCGAACTGCTGCGGTTCCTGCGATGAACTCCGCTTCGGCTGATGACAGGGCAACCAACTCCTGCTTCTGTGAGTTCCAGGAGATTGGTCCCGTTGGTTCGAGTCGGAACAGGAAGCCGGTCCTGGACCGTCGATTGTCGGGATCTGCTGCATGATCGGCATCCACATAGCCGATGAGATTGAAGGATGGGGTTGGTGTAGTTGAGTAGCATAGCCCAATCTTGGGCGTTGAGACGAGGTACTGCAGGGCGCGCTGCAGATCCAGAAGATTCTCAGCCGTTGGTTTGCGTGAGTACTGGGCCAGCTGACTTGCGATGTAGGAGAGGTCTGGCCTGCAGGTGACAGAGGCGAAAAGGAGGCATCCCAGCTGCTGCTGGTAAGTCTGAATTCCAGCAGGGGGTAGGGCTTTGTTGTCAGGTTTGTGGTTCGGTCCAGGGGTTCGGTAGGGAGTTGAGAGAGGTGCAGGTGAAATGTTGAACCGCTTCCCTAGCTCCTCTGCGTACTTAGCCGCTGAAAGGTGAATGGCCTCAGGCACGTAAGAAATGTTGAGGCCCAAGAACTGCTTCACCTCATGGTTGCATGTGATGTCGACGCGCCCCGCCAAGGCTTTCTCGAACTGCTCGAGTAGCTCGTTGTTTGAGCCTGTGTAGAGCAGGTCGTCGACGTAAACCGTGAGAAGAATGTATTCGCCCCGGAAGTCGCGGCGGTACATCCCTGGATCGTGCGGCATCTGCTTGAATCCGATTTCAAGCAGGATGTTGTGTAGATACTGCTGCCACAGCCTCGGCACCTGCTTGATCCCGTAGAGTGACTTGCGCAGTTGGCACACGCGCGAGTCCCCTTCACCGTATGTATGCGGCTGCTCCACGTAAATCACGGCGTCTACTAGCGCGTATAAGAACGCGTTCTTGACGTCGATCTGGCGGAGAGGTAGGTGCCTTGCAGCTGCGATGGCGAGCAGGATTCGAACAGAAGGTATGACGGCTGGCTGGAGAAAGCGTCTGTTCGAAGTCAATCCCGTGCCTCTGGTCGTAGCCGCGCACTACCCAGCGCGCCTTGAAGCGCTCGATCGTTCCGTCCGCTGCGGTCTTCACGCGGAAGACCCACTTGCCCGAGAGGATTCTTGCGCCTTTGATTGCCGCGCGGTCGACTAATACCCAGGTGTCTCGGGACTCGAGCGCTTTGATCTCTGCGTCCATCGCCTCGCGCCACTCCTTGCTGTGTGGTCCAGAGAGAGCTTCGCGCGGGTTTCGAGGCTCGATGACACGTGGCGCTTTCGAGGTTGCAGTGTGAAGCCCGAGTAGCTGTAGTCCTGAGACAGTGCAGTCGTGGCGACGTTGCGGGATGACTTCCTGCACGTCGTCGTCATCGCTCTCTGGTTCAGGTGGCGCTGGTGGTGCTGTGCTTCTGCCGCTTCCACTTGCTCCGCCCATCCCTCCTTCTGAGGAATCGTCGTCGTCGTCGCTGCTGCGCCGATCCTCCCATGTGAACTCGCCTCTTATATCCTGCTCCAGTATTGCTGCAGCGGCTTCGTCTTCGGGCGTTGCGTAGCTGTGCCCGTCGTTCGCGTAAACGCGATTCGCGTTCGTTTCCTCGTCGTGACGGAATTGGTCGAGGAAGAGGCGCTCGTAGAAGATTACGTCGCGAGCGTGGGCGGTTTTCTGACTGAGGAGGTCCAGCACGATCCACGCTTTGTACTCGTGGCTGATGCCGAGGTGGATTCCCCAGCGCGCGCGACTGGCGAATTTACCTATGGTTGATGTCGGCGGGAGGTACTGCACCATGCACCCCCACACGCGGAGCATGGAGGTATCCCCCTTGGTCCCGGTCCATTTGACATGCGGGGAGAGGTTCCCGGTGATTGCAGTGGTTGAAAGCAGGTTGTGCACCCGCACGGCGTGGTGCATCGCGTAGGTCCAGTAAATCGGCGGCAGCTTTGACTGCTTCATCAGCGCCCGCACCTTCGTCATCAGTGTGCGGTTCGTCCGCTCAGCTACGACCTGCTCCTGATGTGCGTAGGGGAGAGAGATGTGATGCTCGATCCCCTTTTGCGCCAGGTAGCTCTGCATTTGATTGCTCCTAAACTCCGCTGCGCCGTCGGATTGCCAGATTTTTAGCTTCTTCCCGGATTGCCGCTGCGCATGCGCCAACCAGAGGCGGAACACCTCGTAAGCTCTGTCGCGGGTCTCCACATTTGCGACCCATACGTAGCGCGTTCCAGCGTCGATGAAGGTGAGTGTGTATAGCTCGTCGTCGACTCCGCAATGCCCCACGTTCAGGAAATCGCTGTACACCTTGTGCAGCTTGGGGTAGCGGTTCGTCCCTGGTTCGAGTAGTGGGAACGGCTGGTGGCTTAGTGCGGCTTCGGGGTAGACAGTGCAGTTGCGCGGATGTGTCGCGCCTCTCACTTCGGTGCCGTCGGGGCGGAGCAATGCTCCAGGGGCAAAGACTCCGGCGTCGATGCAGTTCTTCAGTGTCGCGCGTGAAAGGTGTC